TGCAAAGACCACGACCCAACATTTTTTTAGACTGATTCTGGACTAAAGGTTGTCTGCTGGTCCACAAATTTTGATTGAAGCTCCATATTTTCTCGGCCACAATGAGAGGAGTGGAGTGCATCCACGTAGGGATCCTTCTAATCCATGCATTTCAAATTTTCAATTAATTTAGTGGGTCTACTGAATTATTTTAGAGACCAAATCCTTCCTGCTCTTCACTGGTGAAGCTCGCAGACTTCTCGTGCCCAGCCTTACTGTCGCCAGAAATGGAGGACCCCCCATATCACAGGCCGCCGGAAATGAAGAGAGGCCTCGGCCGTCCAACCCCTGCTTAACAATCCGGAGCTAGAATCCCCATTAAAGGCAGTCGGAGACCACCAAACTGCCACTCCAGAACGTTGAGACGCGACGGCGACAGGTGCGGCGCCGGAGCGACCATAGAAAGGCGGCGGCGCGGTAACAGAGGCGACGGAGTTCGTACGCTGGACAGTTCGCCGGTGGCTGCCGGAGAAGGGTGAAGAAGCTGATGGCAACTTCCGTGTTAAGCCTACTGGTCCCGGCACGGACGTCACTGGTAAGGGAGGCCGAACGCTTGGAAACATCGTCGGTAAGCGTTGCTAATCGTCGCCAGAGAGTGGAAGAGATTCATTGGAACCGCTGCTGCTCCGTACGACTTTGCTCTGCCTCCGTTGAGATCTGGACTGAAAGCTTTGCACAGGGAAATTGTTGTGGCTGTAATGGAGGGCTCACTAGAGTGGTGCGGACCTGCGATTGGCGGAACTGGTGAAGAAGCAAGCTTCAAGTGTGGGTTGTCACTGTGGCGAAGGTGGATAAACTGAACGCGGGATCGCTCATCTCTTCCAGGTGATCCCAGGCGGCCATTGATGGTGGACAACCATTGGAAAATCAGATCCAGAGCAGTGGCGTGTCCTGAAGATCTGGACGGCGACCTCCAACTTTCGATCCCAAGCCAGATGCGGCGGTAGGCGATGGATCGGACGGCGACCAAATCTCCGGTCAGATCTAAGACCTCTCCGATCTGAAGTGGCAGATTCTTCATCTTGTTGTTTTTTGCATTTTCCAGAGCAGTTTTGGCTTTTTTTCTGTGATTCGAATGAATTTTTTTGGCTGGAATTTTGTGATTGAGATGAATTTTTGGTAATTTGGGGAGGTTTTCTCACTTGATTGTGTTCAACCTCTCAACGAGAGCACCATATGATGGACAGTCTACCCGGGGGTATCTTATCCGAGGGGTTATTGCGGGAATAACTAGAGAGAAGTCAGAGCAAAATAGGAGGAGAGAGAGTCGATTTATTAAATGAACTCAGCGTGGAGTTGAGATGTAGATCGTGTCTTACAAGGAGGAACGGGCTGCTATTTATAGCAGCAATAAATGCGATGAGGGGACACGTGTCAGTAATCCAACGGCCGAAGGGTCACATCAGCCGGTTGGCACCGGCAGTGGTACGTTCACCGCATTGAATGCGGTTGGCGGATGCGACGTGGCATTAAATGCGGTTGTTGGCTGTCTCCAAAAGGAATCTTCGATGATTGAGCTAGTCCAGCCGAAGGTTCCTCGTGTAGCCGAGGGCTCCTTGTATGGCCGAAGGCTCCTCGTGTAGCCGAAGGCTTGGTTCAGCCGAGGGCTTCCCCTGGTGCCGAGGGCTCAATAGTGCCGAAGGCTAATGTTCTCGCCCGTTTTCTCCCAGTAGCTTCTTACGCCAGAGAAGGCTATTCTGAGAGTTTTGGAGCCTTCGGCCAAGGAGGCCGAAGGCACCCCAGTGTGTATTCTGGGCTACTTTGAGGCTTGGGCCGTTGTATTTGGGCCTGAGATGTCCTCTGGGCTCAATGGACTTGTGTAGGAGAAGTGGGAGTCTATGGGCCGGGGGTTCTTGGGCCATATACTCCATCACCTGCCTTATTTAGCATTTGAAAACGGACTAGATTTCCACACATCCGATGACACCATTCGTATAAATGATCCTTTGTTATTATCTTGCAAATAGTTCAATGCCAAGTACAAAGTGGAAAAAACAAGTAATGTTGGGTTTAGTCAACTCACCACCCTTGATGAACCTATGTAATAAACATTTAAGACCACAGGGGAATATATATATATATATATATATATATATATTAATATGGATCAAATAAAAAGAGCTTCCTATGTGAAAAATAAGAACTAATCATGGCTATTGATATGAAAAAATGGAAGGAAGAGATCAAATTTTAAGTGAAAAACGCGGTGGCATTTTTGTAATTATGAAGAACTTTTAATAAACATATTATACGAAAAGTGTACCAAAATATGCAAAAAGTGTACATGCAGACTACAAAAGTGCATAACAGTACATCATAAAATGTGCACAAATTTTAAAAAATTAGCAATCTTTTTTAACTCTTATGTGCACTTCTATTCATGTAATATTAACTTTGTACTATAAACGTTTGCACATTATTTGAGTTTGTGCCTTTTGATTAAAGTTCATCTAACCCATCCATTTTCAAGTAATCAAAGACTAAGATTTGTTCTCATTTTTCATGGGAAGACTATTTTTTACTTGAACTCAACTATATATATGTATATTGTGTGTGTGTATGTTGTGATCTTTTTTCATGTGGCAATTGTCCCATAATGGGGTCAATGTTTCTTCTCTAAATGGTCTAACATCAAATTGATACAATGAGTTGCGCATGATGTCTAATACAACTTCTGCCTCCTCTCCATTAAGATGTCTCCCACGATCTTGAAATTTGTTGCATTATCTGTGATAACCAGAACACCACTTTCCTCCCCAATTTATTCAACAACATCACCCAACATCTTTTCAATCTTATGAGATGTTTTAGAAATTTCATATGCATCAACAAGTTAAAATGGTACATTTAGAACTATTAACCAAGAAAAACACTAATATCCTCCTTCTTGTATCCATATATCCACCTGTCACCGTTGTGAACCTATATTTTTCTGTGATGCTTTGTGCTCCTCAACCGTTTGAGTAGTTTTCTCAACTCACTTCTTCAAATATTTCACATGATGTGACTGGTTTAAATCTAGGGCCATGTTAGACAACGAGATCAGATCAATCATTTTCTTAAATTGTGCGTTGTTGGCAGCGACATTAATAGGGATATCATTGTTGTAGAAAGATAAATAAATTGCATTGTATGCTTCTTCAGAATGTTCTTGAATATATGAAGTAATACATATCACTCGCCTTCAATTCTCATCTCTTTTTGAAACCCATTGTTATTCGATTGGTTTTATATGTTAAACACAACCCACATTTCTTTTCAGATATCATTGCTCACACTTTTCCATGGTGCCACGTTTTTGTTCATTGTTGCTAAGTGATGTTTCAAACGCTAGACACCTCCCGTAAATACCTTCTCAGAACACTTACACTGAATTATTCTATTATCTTCACTCATGGGCGGACCAGGCTGCAACCCAATATCATTTCGTTGTCCAGGAACCTTTTTTCACTCTAGACCCACTTGCCTTAAGGGAGAAGCTCAGGAAACATACAGTCAGTCGAATAAAAATAAGGTAAAAATCCAAAAACTACAACTTTCAACGGCTATTATTTGGGACAAAAAAAAAACAATACTTACTCGTAAGTAAAACCGTTGCAACTGTCCAACCAGTTTGCATGGTGCTTGAGGCTTCGTAGGTCAGTGACACATTGTAAGTCACAACTTTTAAATCAACTTTGCTTCTCTCTCACCCAATACTATGAACATGGTTAAAAAAATCATTGAAGACAAGGCACTATACGATATTCCTTCAATCACTATGTTCACTATAGAGATCTTTTCAAAAATAATATTTGATCAACACAAGATGTTCATATTGATTAAACTAAGGGTACCCCTTAATTTTTATTTTTAAATTTTTCAAAAAGAAGGGCATTTTTTCCTGTTAAATTGACGACACGTGTTTATAAATAAGTAATAATATATTTTGAAGAAAACAACAACTTTGCTGACAATAACCAATTTTTTGGTTGTTTTGTTAGAAGAGTCCTCATCTGTTTGGAATATTAACAAAGATAAAGAAGAAGGAAGAGAAGATAAGCTCAATTGAGTAATAAAGATTCAAATGACTCGATGAATTCTTAGAAGGATTCTAATCAACAGTTTTTTGGATTGGTTTTGAAAATAATAATAAAAAAACTGGTAAATTATTATCAATTTTTTATGTTTTAATGTAATAATTTCTTATAACTACACAAACTAAGAGTAAAAAATGATTCTTTTTGAATTAGCTAAATCCGCTACTTTAAAGTCTTAAAAAATATTCCCTTCAAATTCATACAGTAGGAATCAATAAACAAAAGGACATGATGTCTTTGTATTCATTACCCGAGCTATTCTTTTGAAATTGTTTCAATAATCATATTGCCATTCTAAATTTACCTCTAAAATAAGCTTTAAAAGCTATGCAACTTCAAAATGAATGAATTTTTGTCTCTCTAATCTCCAATTTATCAATTAATTCTTCACAGCGGAATGTATAACAACGTAATAGATACAAAAAAACACTATGTAACTGCCACATTTTGATGTCACTGTAATCGGATGAAATTTTTCTGACGACTTTTTTCCAACAATTTTTTTTAAAAACTAAAATAAGAAAGAACACCATAAAAATTGTCCAACGATTTGTGTCCAATATAATAATATTTTTAGAAAAAGGAAAATCAGTCCATTTTATATTTTAAAAGCTAGAGGCAACATTTGTGTCCATTTTCGTAATTGTAATTTCCATTTTCCAACATTAATGTAATTTAACATTATTTTTAAACTTTATCTCATCATAAATTTCTTTAAACAAGTGAAAAACATATTGAGACCATTAATAGAAAAGGGTGGGAGTATAGAAAAAGGGAGGGAGTATATATAACGAAAGACAGAAGAAAATGAAATGGTAGCACGTCAGCGTCACTGACTCGCCTGACGAGGCAACAAAAGCCACCGCTGTCCGCTTCCCCACCCCCTCCTCCTCATATCTTTTGAATTTTTCTGCAGTTTCCCCATTTTCGTTTATTTCTATTGCTCTCTTGCTTTCATTTTTTTCTGGGCAAATTTCCAGCCTCATACGCAAATCAGGCAAACAAACGCGCCTCGCACCAGACAGACGTAAATCCCAAAAATCATTTCCTTTACTGCTCCCTCCACTACCACACTACTGCGACTCTCTTTCAACCCACAAAAAAGAAAAGCAAAAGCTACTCTGACAGGTGACAACTATTTCCAACTCGCCGGTAATGTTGTCGGCTTTCTCTGCTCCGGCCTCTCGTCGCCCACACCGGTAGCACCACACTTTTCTGGGTTTTGCGTTTCACCTGCTCATCATGCGCGAAACCGATGCCAGCTTTTGCGCCGGCGGTGTCGCCAAGAAGACTAAACCCGGTGATTTTGTAGCTCAGGGAGAAGAAAGAGGCGATGTGTTCATCCTCCCGCCGTTTATGGCGGTGAGTGGGGAACCCGCCGCCGCCACTACTACTGCCGAGCAGGTTCTGCCCAACGGAGATCTGTACACTGGTACATTCATGGGAAACCGGCCGCATGGGACCGGGAAGTATCTCTGGTCTGACGGGTGTATGTATGAAGGGCAGTGGAGGAGAGGAACGGCGAGTGGGAAGGGGAAGTTCTCGTGGCCGTCCGGAGCTACCTATGAAGGGGAGTTTAGGGCTGGGAGTATGGAAGGTCAGGGGACTTTCATCGGAGCCGACGGCGACACCTACCGCGGCTGGTGGTTGGCGGATCGGAAACACGGCTTCGGGGAGAAGCGGTACGCGAACGGCGACTTGTATGTGGGGTCGTGGAAGTGTAATTTTCAGGACGGTGAAGGGAGGTACGTTTGGAGCAACGGGAATGAGTACGTCGGGGAATGGAAGAACGGGGTCATGTCCGGCAAAGGGGTTCTGATTTGGGCGAACGGGAAAAGGTATGAAGGGGATTGGGAGAACGGAATCCCCAAAGGAAACGGCGTTTTCACTTGGCCGGACGGGAGGATCTCTTACGCCAGTGGGGATAACAACTCCTCCTCTCAAGATTTCAGCAGCTGCAATGGGGCCCACAACCGGAGAGGGTCGTCTGCCAGCGGGGCTAATGTCAGTGACCGGAATCCGAACGTTCCTAGGATTTGCATATGGGAATCCGAGGGTGAAGCTGGGGACATCACTTGTGATATCGTGGACACCGTGGAGGCCTCGTCCATGTATCTTCAAAGGAATGAGGATGAAGGGAGCAGTGAAAGCTCAGAGGGAGATTTCAGCCTTGATTTACAAAAGAGCCCCTGTCGATCAGAGGGTGTGGAAATGAAGAAACCAGGGCAACCAATATCGAAGGGGCATAAGAATTATGATTTGGTTGTCAGTCTTCAGCTTGGTATAAGGTAAAATTATATAGATAAATACTCAATGCCTTGTTATCAGCAGTCAATCAAAGGTTATTTATGTCTGCAATGAATTGAAACAAACAGGTACTCAGTAGAAAGGCATGGTTCGATAATGCGAGAATTAAAGAGTGCAGATTTTGATCCATATGAGAAGTTCTGGACTAGGTTTCCACCAGAGGGATCCAAATGCACTCCGGCCCATCATGCTCCAGATTTCAAATGGAAGGATTACTGCCCAGTTGTTTTCAAGTACGTTTTTAAATTTTAAGGAATTTTATGCTTTGTCCTGTTTTTTAATATCTGGTTATATGGCATTTATGTAAGTAGGCGATCACATAGAGTGATGATGTATTCTTTTTTGCTATTGTTGTTCCTAGACGGCTTAGGGATCTCTTTGGAATCAATTCAGCTGAATATGTGACAGCTCTATGTTCAAATGATGCACTTAGAGAACTCTCTTCCCCTGGAAAGAGTGGGAGTGTCTTCTATCTAACTCAGGATGATCAGTTCATCATTAAGACCGTGAAGAAATCGGAAGTCAAGGTTAGTAAAACCTGGCTTCTTGATGAGAACACTTTTTGAGTATATTTCATTTTTATTTTCCAGAATAATTGAATATTTTCTTCCAGTTTTGCACTTCTTTTAATTTTCATGAAGGATCTCTTCATCTTATCTTGCCATTATATATACATACTATACTTATTAATTGAGTTTCTTAATCTGTGTGGGTGAACCTTGAATGCCAGACATGCAATTCTTTGTTGTTACAGGTGCTGATTAGAATGTTAGCAAGTTATAACAGACATGTTTGCCAGTACAAAAACTCATTGGTGACGAGGTTCTTTGGCGCCCACTGTGTTAAACCTGTTGGAGGTCAGAAGGTATGTTTTTCAAATTGGCATTAATTATAATTCATTAATATGGTGTTTGGATTAGGAGGGGGTCTTATTCTTGCATTCAAACTAGTTTTTTTCTGTGAACTTACTCCTTACAGTTTTAACATATTGAAAATGGAATGTCAGACCCGTTTCATTGTAATGGGCAATATGTTCTACTCAAAGTATGGTATCCATAGACGATTTGATGTAAAGGGGTCCTCCTATGGACGGTCAACCGATAAGCCTGAAGGGCAGGTTGATGAGACAACCACTTTGAAGGACCTTGATCTCAATCTTGTCTTTCACCTTCAAAGATCCCGGTTTGAAAAGCTTATTAGGTAAACTGAATAAATGCTCGTCATTAGTAACAACAAACATTTCTGTTTGTTTCGATCTTTTTTTTTTTAATAATTAATTAATTGTCTAGTTTTCCTACACAGGCAAGTCAACAAAGATTGCCAATTCTTGGAAGCTGAGAACATAATGGATTACAGCCTCTTGATCGGTGTTCATTTTTGCAGTAACTTCAACCGTAATGGTACAAATGGTGGATTGTCTCCTGATGATAATTTTGGTAGGTTCATTTTTTGTTTTTGTTAAATTACCTGCTATCCAGTATTATACGGAGTATTGTTTATCAGAATAACCTAAATGTATTCATAAGAAAATGTTGTTCTGTGGATATATACAGAGAAGAGAGGAGCTCGAGAATATTCAGTGTGTGACTCAATGATGCCACAAGAGGAGGAGCTGATAATGGACGCAGAGTATGTTGCTTCTCTCTTTCTTCTTTTCCTTTTATACTTTTTTAATTTGTTGACATATAGTCCATAATCCATGTGAACTCTTGCTTGAAGAGGTGCATCATTTGATTCCTATATCTAATGAAGTTTTTACTGGTAGATGGTAAAAGCAAAATTAGTTAAAGAACACTTAGCAATGGAACATTAGTTATTATAGTTTGATTAATACCTGTTATTCAGTCAATTATTATTGTTGGATTTTAACAGGCCAGATCCATGCAAAAACCTTTAGAAGCTTATCGTGATAACTGATAAGTAGGAAGTTGATGTTAATAGCAGATTACTATGGAGTATTAATGTTGTTGTTTTTATCATTACTTTATTGTTAATTTGTTATTTGTTATTATTATTATTATTATTATTATTCATTTTTATTCATGTGCAAATTCCGGGCTACCCGAAGGCCGAAGCTCGAATTTGGAGTGGGCTAGAAAAATATTCATTTATATACGAAGTAAATTTTCATACTATTTTTTTACATGAAAAAAAAGTGGCAAAACTTGCATGGGTTGGGCCCCATTGGTCTTGCTAGCTTTACCATTATTTTTATTCCTGGCTGTTAGAGTAGTTCATTAGTGAGCAAGTAAGGCACTTCATTTGTTGCATAAAACCCTCTTTATACAAAAAATGAAAAATACTTCGTAGTATTCATACAAACAATAATAGTTGGTAACATGATTGTCCAATTGTTACAAAAAGCGTTATCATAAGAAAAAAAATCCATTAATATTACCCTTTAAAATGTGGTGTACACAAATATTACTTGGTAACTTTTAGTGACTATAGTTGTGTTCAAAGTTACATCGTAGTAACTTACTATGATATAAATTTGAACACAATTATAGTCGCTAATAGTGACTAAGTAATATTAATGTTTATGATTTTTATTACTACTCCCTCCGTCCCATTTTTACCCGTCTTACTTTCCTTTTTGGATTGTCCCAAAATAAGCGTCATCTTTCCATTTTTGGAAAGAAATATGTGGTTCACAATATGTAACTTTACTATACTCAAATCTCAACCACAACTTTTACCTTTTCAACCACTTTATTAAAAATTGTGCCAAAACCAAAGGAGACATATAAAATGGGACGGAGTTGGTAATATTTAAGGAAAACCCCCTGATTATAATTGTGTCCCAGAATGAGAGCTGCATTTGGCCTTGGCTTGTAACGGTCCATCCAAGGGTTAACATATGGGTTTGTTCCTGGACTTGATGGGCTCAACCTATGGGTGGACATTCCTGTTTGAGTTTTTGACTTTCTGGTATAAAACGGGTTTGAGAAAGTATTGCCAATTAAACCAAACTTACTTTGGTTCAATTTTGTTCAATTTGGAGTTTTTTAATGGTATTGGACTTCTATAGGTTTTTCCTATTCATATTAGTTCGGTTTAATATGATTTGGAGAAACATTATCAACCTAAAACTGAGTTACATACTTACATATTGTTTGGTTTTGGTTAGGGTTAATTCCATTTAGTCAATCTGAACTTTTATGTCCACCCCTGATTGAACCCATCCATTATTGGTGCTGTAATGTCATTGTGTCTCAAGTTGAACCATAGGCTGTGGCTGACTAGGAATAACACAAATTTTGTTTTCTTAAACAACTGTTGCATGTTTGGTCTGCTTTTCTAGATAACAGTAAACCATGATTGATTTGAAGTACCAGAAGTAAGCCAGTAACTCATAGGCTAAGACCGTGTTTGGTCATGGCTATTTGGCTGAATTTGCTAATTTTTTAGAAAAAGGGTTTGGTACTTTGGTAACACCCATTTAACCCATTAATCAAGTCCAAAGCTAATTTATTGAGCTGGTAAGCATAACAAGGCATGGCTACCAAACGGAGCCTAAATCTGATAAATACCTCCGTTAACTTTAACACAATCATCTTAACACTTCCTCAGGCAGACACCACACACTGGTTTAGGTTCAAATCTTCCAGCAAAGGCAGTACACATGCCTCGAATGGATCACGATCCGGGCAGCAAAACGTTTGGACAACAGGGTAGTAAGGAAACATCAAATGTGATTCTTTACTTAGGCATAATAGACATTCTTCAAGACTATGACATCAGCAAGAAGCTTGAACATGCATACAAGTCGTTCCAAGTAGATTCCACCTCCATCTCCGCTGTTGACCCAAAGCTCTACTCCAAAAGATTCCGTTATTTCATCAGTAGTATCTTTTCAGAGGATGAAGAGGATGATAAGTCATCATAAACAAGAATGGAAATTAAGGGGATGAAGAATAAAGCAAACAATGCTGTCATCAGAACAAAAACACAAGCACGAAGACCTATTGAATGGCGCTTAGCTTTACGGAAAAGCAGGCGGTCGGATGGTTGGATGGGAAGACAAACAGCTCATTTGATTGGGGGAAGGGGGTGTTGAGGCAAATTTGTGAAAAGATCATTTGTTTATTTAAATAGTATGCTATATTGAGGCATGGGGAAGGTGAGTGTGTTTATTCCCAACACAATGGTGTTTCTGGATAATAGATGATGAAGAAGAAATTTTGTTTTAGTTGTACAGTAAAAAAAGCTTTGGGTGTGTAGAAAGAGAGGTGACATTGGTTTTTTTGTATGTATTTGGAAAAATGGTAAAAATTCAGGGGCTATTTGCAAAATTCAAATGGTGGATAAAGGACTGATGGAAAAGCATGGTGAAAAATGATGCGTGGTCAATTGGAGCTTGGAGCATGGTGAAAAATGATGCGTGGCGAAAAATTCTACAACGTTGTCTGTTGGTAGGGGTGGACTTGGGCCGGGCGGCCCGAACCGGAACCGGCCCGGCCTGGTCACAGTTTGAACCGGCCGGCCCGGTGGCCCGGCCCATGGGCGGTTCGGGTCGAACCGGCCCGGTGGCTACCGGTTCCGGGCTCGGGCCTTCATTTTGGTGAACCGGCCCGGCCGGTTCGGGCCTGGTTCGGGCCGTATTTATTTTTTTTTTTTGAATTTTTTTTAAGTTTTTGGGTTGGATTGGGTATTTTGGGCCATTTGAGGTGGTTTGGGGTTGAGGGGGAGGGTAGGGGTTGATTAGGAAAACCCAAAAAAAAATTATATAGGCCCGAACCGGGCCCGGCCCGGAACCGGTCCATCCCTATCTGTTGGAGCTTGGTTGGGAGGGGAGAAATAGGAAAAAGGATTTGGGGTCAAAAAAGAAAAATCATACATAGTATAAAACTATAAATTTGGGCTCAAAAATCTTGTAAAATCCATATAAATTTGAAAACTAATGTAACTTTAATAGAAAAATAGTGTAAATGAAAAAATGGATAAATAATTTAAAAAAGTTTAAAAAATCAGAAACTGAAAAAACAAAGTGAAAATGTAAAAACATTAAATAGAAAATGTAATAATCTTTTAAATAGATGTAGAATATACAAATAATTTCAAAATTTCAAAAATATTGGCATTGACATTTTAAAGTTTTCGAGATCAAGTGGGGTTGTTATCATATGTGATGGACTAAATGAAAAATAAAAAAAATAAGAATTCTGTAGAAATTTATGAAGTTCTGGCTGAAGTGGTTGCATTGACTAATTATATTGAATTATGAAAAAATTATATTTAAAATATTTTTTATTAATAAAATAAGAAAAAAATATATGAAAAATGGCTAAAATGATCATCTATAGTAACTTCAGTCAATACAGCCAGAAAATTAACTTCAACCTTACTTCTTATTACACAATTCAACGTGCGAAATCGAAAGTTATGTGTTTGATGAAAAATTTGGTTGATAAGCCTGATAAACCAAAAAACAGTGTCACCAACGGGCTTATAGTTTATCATACTCCCCCTGTCCCGAAAAGGTTAGCCAAATTTCCTTTTTTGGATGTCCCAAAAAGATTTGTCATTTCCATTTAAAGTAAGGAATATGTGACTAAAGTTAATTCCATCTCTTCTGCACAAATTTCAACCACACAGTTTTACTTTATTATTTAACGTGAAAGTCAACTTTGGCCAACCTTTTCGGGACGGATGGAATATTTGAAAGGACTAAAAACATACTCCACAGTGCAAGACAGTGTCAAAGAATGTTTAAACAGTGTCAAATGGTGTCCAAACAGTGTCAAACAGTACACTCCACAGTAAAGTCAAATTTATTTTCTTAAAACTTGTGAAGTCAAACACAAAAATTAATTGGGGGAGGTAGGGGAAGTATTTAATTATTTTTAAAATATCATGCCAATGGACATTTGCTTTTAAAAGCTGTCATAATCCGATCAAATTCTCATAACGTATTTGTGAACAAAACAAAAAGATCAAAACACACGAAATTTCGAAGAAGAAAACCAAAACATTATCTGATATTACAAATTTACAACCCTTGTTTAGAATCGTGTTGAATTAATAACCAATCTTGTCAAAATATACAGTATTTGTCGTGTGTGGGAGACAAACAAAATTCAAAGTCAAAAAGTGCGATGATGAGAAAAAAACAGGCCGCCGGCTTTGTAATAAACCAGCATCAATAAATGATCGAACAACATTGCATTCACACATGCGTTTTTCCTGCGTTCAAGTTAAAATCATGTTCGCTAGTGTTTTTTTATGTTTTATTAGAACTGCGTGGGAGGTCTAGTGAAAAACTAGAAATATTTAGACATAATGTGTGTAAAAAATGGAGGGATGCCGTACATAATAAGAGAAATAAGTCACAAAAATAAAAATGGCAAAAAATACACATCATATGTGAATATTTCAGACATAAAATTTAGGGAAAAGAAGATAAAAGATAACTATATTTTACGCGTATGCATGTATGGAGTAATAAAAATGTTATAAATGAAACAATATGAGGAAAATAATTTAAATGTCCTAAACCTTGAAGGAGGGTGAAATAAGTAACTCACACTTGTATATTTAATTTAATATCTCTCGAACGATATATAAAAAATTATCATAACACCATGACCATATTGTTTTCACAAAAGTAAATTTAAGTTGTTAAGTACACAATTTAAAATATTTAGCATTCGTGAGTATACAATTAACATTATAAATCTCCAATGTTGTCATGAATCCTTTTGTTGGATTATCTAAACTACTATCTAAATGATGAATTATCAATTTAAGCCTATTTTTTTTTCAAAAAAGAACAAAAAACAAATCCCCACTGTGAAATAAATAATATTACCCTAGTCTATATAATTGCAAGGATTTTAATTTGCTATTCTTCGTTGTACAACTTTCATTAATAATATACTTAATTTAATTGACTTTACATTATTCATACACTCTATTGTGACTATTTTATTCATTGATGTACTACGTATTAAACAATTTTTTTACAAAAAGTAATAAAACATTATAAAATTTGTCCTAGGTTAAGATTTTAAAATAGGGAAAAGGACACTGATATTAGCATTAAGAGGTCCGGTTCCACAAAAGTGAGTTCAATTCAAAAAAAGACAAAAACGTGACCGAACGGATGAAAAAATTGGAAACACTCACACGGCTCACTCGTAAACACCATCAACTCACACTTACACGTGGCATATACTTCGTAGTTCGTACTGCGTTAAGAATGCTTAATTCAATTTAAGAATGCACTGTACTGCTCTCCTTTTAATTTAATAATATTTCTAATTTTCAATGCAATCTGTAACTATTCACCACACAAAAAGTCTATAGAATTAATGTTTTTTATTTTAATTTTATTTCTGAAAAAGAAATTGGGAAATGAAATTTGTGTGACAATTATTGGGGTGATCACCATCCCAGTTACAACTAGCGTTCCACGTCATTATCCTAGTTACAACCACAGTAGTGAGTAGTGACACTGTCTCAATTACTTCCGCTCCAGTGACATCATCTCAATTATTACCCGCTAGAGTGACTATCGTTTCATTTACCACCAACGTAGAAGACATCGTCTCAGTTACTACCACTCCATTGATCGCCGTCTCAGTTATTTACTTTTCTCGTTACCGTCATGCTTCATCATAAATACTACAGTCCAATGACATCGTCTCAGTGACATCGCCTCAATTACCATCGCTCCAGTGATCATTGTCCCATTTAGTAGCTAGCGTTCCGGTGACACCGTCCATCTCAGTTACTACCTCTCCAGTGACCATCGTCTTATTTACTACTTCTACAGTTACCGTCGGAAAACATGTCACTGGGACCGTTTCCGGTTCGGTGAAATTGTCGCCACCAACATTGTGACCGATCACCCGACTCCCACACTCGCACTCAGCCCCGAACACACCCCAACAATGACCCGTTGACAACCGCTGCCTTACCCCGCCCCTCCCCAACCCACCAGCCCCCTCCCCACCCTCCCCCCAGTCCCGTCCCAAAGTTCCCCTGCCCCAGCCCTTGTCCCAAATCCCGGCCCAAGCCATCGCAATACCACCTCCCAACCTCAAAGCTAGCTGCCGTAATCTAGATCTAGATCACCCGGCCGCACTGCGTAGGGAGAAGACGGGAGCGCGGACGGCAAAGACTAGGGCGAGGGCGGCGCCGGCGGCGATCCCTCTGCTCTGTCCGTGGATGCGACGGAGACGGCCTGGGGAGTGGTCTCCTCTGCTCCTACGACAGCCTTTGGAGATGTCTGCTCATGCGACAGGCTATGGCGTTCCTTGGTTGATGAATGATGATGTTGGCCTGACTTCAGAGACGAAAACAAAATAATGGGCTGGGATGGAAGTAGCGGGCCGGATAAGTCAGATATTTGGAAAATAAGAAAAATAGTCAATTTTTTGTATTTCACTAACCTATTAGTCATATACGAGTCTTTACTTTGGGATAAGGACCAAAAATGACACTAAGGTATTTAATGAATCTCTTATTTGACACTGAGGTTTATGAAGGACCAAAAAAACACATTTTCTAACTTTGAGCTTAATTTTAAACCACTCCACTAACTTCCCCGTTCCAGACCCGTTTCTCCGTTATCTCACCCCTTCCTCCCTGCGTTTAAACAACTCAGCCATAAATATATTCCCAACAACCCTAATTGATTGTGAAGGTACCTATTAAAGAGTCTGCAGACATATTGAAGAGGAAACCATCAGTATGGACAATAGTCCTTCACCATCAAGGTCGGAAGGGATACACAAGGTAAACTCCATTGATTCAGTAAGCTCTCGAAGCACCATTGAGCGGCAAAATTCTGGGCGGGTGAGGTACTGTAAGTGCAGGAATGGAAATGGAGAGCGTGTGGAGGCGCGACTGTGGACTTCGTGGACGGATAAGAATCCGGGGAGACGATTCTATGGGTGTTCATATTATGAGGTAAAATTGATATTGAATTTTTAAAATCAATCTTTCACCCCATCTGATGTATATTTTTATTTCTATCTATTGTAGAAGGATGGCTGTGGGTTTTTTGAGTGGCATGATGATCAGTTAACAGATAGGACGAGACATGTTATCAATGATCTAAAAAGGGAAAATAGAAGACTACACAGTACAATATTGGGACTGGAAGAGGCCATTCGTGCAGGAGAGCAATTTGAGAAACCATCACTCCTTGAATATGATGATAACTCAAGTGAAAAGTTGAAGTTTCAAGTTCAAGAGATGAATAGCAGGAAGGTTGTCAAAAATCTGGAATTGGACAGGGGAGGAAATATGAATAGGAATTATGTGATTTCAATGGTGTTGTGTGCCCTTGCTGTAATGATATGTTTTCTTTTAAGTTAGTTGAAGTTCTTAATTGGTGTTGTAACCTTAGAAAGAAGTGATTGATAGAACAAAGTTGTTCTTTTGTGTTGTTGTACTTGGTCTACTTTTGGTATGACTGATATGGGTTGTTTGTTAGAATACTTTGGTACTAATGAAGTGATTCAGTTTTGTTATAGCAGTAATAATGTAGTAATTGTTTGATTGAGAGGTTAGTCTTGTTATAGCACTTAATATAGAGGTGTTGAGCTCCATAAAAAACCAGAAAGAGGTGTTGAAGACCTGTCATTATACTGATGGTTTTTGAATAGTTGAACTTGTAAACCTAAGAACTATAAAGTTAAGGGAAATTTGGACTTTACACCCAGCTAATTAAAAGAGTATTCTGGACCAACTATAAAGTAAATGCAGTTTGTTGGTGTTGAGTATTCTGGACCAACTAAATCTGTGCTGATAACATGACCAACTAAAAGAGAGTTGCTAACGGTATTAATAAAGCATATCAGTAGTGAATTTAAGATGATTAGTTCTAGAATGTTAATCCTAACATGTAAAAAAGTTGCTGGTTTTCTAAAAAAATAATGACCATCAAGAGACTTGCATACAAGATATAGAACCTGCAATATACAAAGCCTTTTATTTGCACCTGCTATAGGATAAAACAATAAACTACTACACTTACACCAGTCATAGGATAAAATATAGAAGAAACTATGAAAAAATCAGGCCCAAGAATAAACTACTGTGCCATAAACCTCATTTAAATGCTCAAAACAGAAGGTAACAAAAAAATAGAATTATACAATGCAAAAAAATGGCTGCTGTGAATCACCTTTCTTTTTAGCAATGAATTCAAAGAGTTGAGTCACATTTGTTGCAAATGAAGTAGATGATATGTCATAAATGCATTTTCATATGATGCAACCTATATTACAGAACTCAATAAATGGTATTTGAATAACTTAATCCATCTTTTATGCTCTCCGCTGCTGCTCCAACTTAACCATCATATGAGTTCTGTATACAATTTATATAAACACCTCATAAAACTACTAATTAATGAACTACTAATCCATTATGCTCATACATATGACAAGTATTAATGCTCTACAAGTGAGTTCTGTAAACACCAAATAAGTATAAAATGCATAAAATGCACTAATTAATTGAGATCTAACATAATTTTATTAGTGTTCAGTAATGTGCACTTGCAGAACTTAATCCATCTTTTATGCTCTCCGCTGCTGCTCCAATTTTGTACTCATTCACAATACTTTGTATAAACACCTCATAAAACTACTAATTAATGAACTACTAATCATCATAATATATTAACATAACATTATCATAAATTTGATTCCTTACAGGCCACATCACCATTTAGTAAAGAGTTTACAAAAACAAAAAAGGTTAGGCCCCCTAATTTACTTCTCCAAAAAACTACTTCATCTGGGCATGTAGAAAAGGAGAACTAAAACTTCCCAAAAAGAGTTATTGCTGTCACCTACTACATCAAAACACTGACAGCTTTACTAACATCTAAAAATGGATTCTATGAAACATCCAACCCAAGTCTTATTCTCTGGGTCCGGGCAGATCAGTCTGGTTTGAAGAAGCCTTCCTCCTTGCTGTCTGGTTTACCAAATGTGTGGAGCTGATGGCTTTCTTCCCCTTCCACTTCAAACCGGGTGCTTGAAAGGGCAGGTTAGTTGGATTTTTTCCTTGAGCTCCATCACCCTTGAAAGTTATTGTCCTATATGTTGGGACATGTAACTCATTTTGAACTCTGGCAGCTCCTCTAATTTGTTTCTCATTTGGAATAGCAAACCTCACATTCACATCAGGATCATGTGCCACTTCATTTTGCATATGACAAACCACTTGTTCACTGTCCATCCCAGGCTGCAACAAAGAGTGAGTAAATGGCTATGAAGTTACAACAGAACACCCACTTATTAAATAGTCAGAACAAGCATGAATTAACATTATCCCATGTATATAAAACTCACATTTATAGTGCTTTCACCAGTGTTTACATCAACATAGATGCCAAACCCTTTCACTGGTTGTTTACCTTTTTTCTTGCCAATTCTTCTACATGGCAGTTTTGCCTTACCACTAGGTCTTACAGTATTTGGCTTAGGATGTGCTCCTTGTGACACTTGTGTAGTGGTAGGATCTGGAGAAAAAGCAACTGAAGCAGGCCTCTTCCCAATAGCTGGAGTAGTAACTTCTATTGTTTCAGTAGATGCCTGAAGACACATTACATGAAATTATATATACACATTTATACTGTAATAGTATTATAGTATTAACTAAGTAATAGTATTCAGAACTAACATGAGCCTACTTACATATTATATTTATATTTACATATACCCACTTATTAACATAAGCCTAAAATAGTATTCTGAAGTAACATGAGTCTAAAATAGTATTCAGAACTAACTAACTAATATAATTCACACATATATACCATAATCAGACTTTACAAGTAACAACTACTCTTCAGGACTATCAAACTTATATTATTGACACATATGTACCATAATCTGTCTTTACTAGTAACAAACACTGAATATACTTACATAGAAACCTAAAATACTATGCAGAACTAACTAACACATAAAAACAGTCTTACCAATCTTGTAAATAACAAAACAGTCTTGCTAATTTAAAAATAACTATTAAAAGTCATGAAAAGTATTTAGAACTTACAGCTTGATCTTTATTTGGACATTTGGCTCTCTTATGTCCCTCTACATGACAGATGCCACAGGTTTGGACTTGGCCTTTTCTAGATGCTCTGTGAGATGTACTAGCATCAACTTTTGAACCACTTCCCACACTTTTGCCCTCATTTGAGGCTCTAACCCTATTCTTCTTTGGTCTACCAGGTAAGATAGGCACTGGGGGAGGTAAAATAGCTTGATATTCATCCATTCTCATGAAGGCCTTTCCGGGAACAGGCTGCAAAGGGTGGTTATATGCTGCCACATAACTTTCTTTATGATACCATTTAGAGATATATGACATTGCATCCACCTTCTTATAAAATAATGCACACATAGCATGTAAGCATGGTATGCCGGTTAATTCCCATGCTCTACAAGTGCACATCATCTTATCTAACATTACAGTGTGTTTATCCTCACCCTCACCTATCTCAAACCCCATGTCCCCATTAAAAATTATATTGCAGCCAGTGGCAGAGTCCTTGTTAGCTTGAAAGTACTCCATGCATGAGGGAGACCAATCATTTATCCATTTTTCATGACTTAGCTTAAAATCTGAAATTCTTTTCATAGCCTTCAAGCGTATATCTTCTAGCATGCTCACAATAGGTTTTGCTCTAGCTTCTCTAATCCATGCATTGAAGGACTCCGTGATGTTATTATCAACCATCCAACATTGACTTCGGCTACTAAAGTATGCCCGACACCAAGTTTGAATAGGATATTTCAGCACATCAGAAGCAGCTTCACTACTTAATTTCCCAAGCCTTTTCAAGTTCACTTGTAGCTCTTCTTCATAAGTGCTCCAAGCACATATCCAGAATTTCTTGCAAAATTGGTCACCTCTCCACTTTTTTGACCAATTTGCGTACACATGGCGAGCACAGAACCTATGTTCCGCATGTGGTAGAACATCATGAGCTGCTATTATTAAGCCCTTTTGCATATCAGAAATAAGGGTCAAATCACCACCACTTTTGAGGTCTAGTTCTTGCATAAGCCAAGTTAGAAACCACCTCCAATTTGACTTGTTTTCTTTGTCAGTCACTGCCCATGCTATTGGAACCATTTGTCCATCTCCATCAATTCCCACTGCAGCCAGTAAAATCCCCTTACACACACCCTTTAAAAAACAACCGTCCACGCCTATGATCCTTCTACAACCTGCCAACCAGTTCTGTCTCAAAGCATCAAAACAGATGAACATTCTTTTAAACACTCTGTTTCCTTCTTTCAGTGCTGCACTGCATAGTTCTATTTCAGCTTTGGAACCAGGGTTACTTCTTTTTAAGGTGGCAGCGTACGCCTCAAGGTACCCAAACTCAGCCTTATAGCTCCCATCCATCTCTTGGATAATCAACCTCTTGGCTCTTTTACATTTGTACAAGCTGACATTGATCTTCAACTTCTTTTCAGCCTCCTCTTTCATAGCTCTAACTGTGAAGCTAGGGTTTTTTTGCAGGTGACCTTTGAAATAATTTGCTAACCACTTCTGGCTAGCACTTGGAATGGAATAATGCCTAAAACATTTGTGTTCGGGATTGCATACCTTCACTGCCAAACCACGGTTCTTCCCATCATTAGATATCCACAACCTAAATGGACAACCTTCCTCATTAAGACACCTAACTGCCAACCGGTTCTTCTCATTCGGTTTGATTTTCAGCTTGTACCCATATTTCACTCCATAATTAGCTATTGCTGTGCGAGCCTCTTTCACATCTTCAAATGTCATTCCATTCATGAAAGAACTTGACCCATCATTCACAGAGTAGTCCTCTCTTGCTTCATCATCTGCGGATGAATCAGATTTGTTGCTCTCATCCTCCTCCTCTTCTTGCACAACATTTGATTCTTCATCAGTTTGATATCCATTAGGTACACCACCAGTGTGTAGTTCAGCATGTTCATCTCTCACATTATCAGTAGCAACATCAGAACCCAACCCATTCCCAGTTTCAGTAGCAGTTTCCTCTTCTTGCACAATACACCCTTCTATTAAGGGAATTAGAACAGGTTCATCCAGTTCATGATCAGCATACAGTTCAATATCATTAATCCAAGACATTCTTCTAATTCGATTTAACACCTTCCTTATTGTATCATCATCTTGAACTAAGAACAGTCCATTGTCCATATTTTTTCCAGGTTCTAAGACATAAATATTTTTTAGAGTTTTGAAACCCAAATCATCCCTGTATTTCCGAACTATGTCATGATAACACAAATAATCTGGGTCAAATCCATATATAGTATCAACATCTCCATTTACGTACTGCAATGGCTTCAACAACCACCTCCCGCTATGATTAAACCTCAGATTGATCAAGTCACTCATTTTTAACAGTAAAAGTTAAACGTATGGAATACCTTACAGCATCTGAACGGACTCCTTCAGCTTCTAATCTTCTCAGGCCAGCGCTTACACTCCATGAAATTGCACTTAGGGTTGCAAATGTGGCTGAGTTGTTTAAACGCTGGGGGAAAGGGGTGAGTTAACGGAGAAACGGGTCTGGAACGGGGAAGTTAGTGGGGTGGTTTAAAATTAAGCTCAAAGTTAGAAAATGTGTTTTTTTGGTCCTTCATAAACCTCAGTGTCAAATAAGAGATTCATTAAATACCTTAGTGTCATTTTTGGTCCTTATCCCCTTTACTTTAAAATGGGACTTCTTGAGCTCTATGACTTTTACTAAAAGTCATTATTAATAGTCATTTGCAAATATCAAATCAAAAGTGTTAGCAATACCATTTTTGAGCTCAAAGTCCCAAACATATCCCACTATTCTACCCATCAATTTCTTCCAAGCCATAGTGAAGCCTAGGGGCGGAGTCAGAGCATTGAGCCGCCGGATCGGACCAGTACAAAGAATATTTTGAAAAAAATACATTAACTTTTTCACCTTAAAAATATAGATATTTTTAAAATTTGGGCTGAATCGGGATCAAGGTTGGCCCCTCCCTAGCTACGCCCTTGGTGAAGCCCGCGTATCCCCCATCTTCCATGGACGTATCTCGGCTGCCTTGACCTTGTGTATGCAGCTAACCACACGCCATCCACGTAGAGTAGGGGTGGACTCGGGCCGGTTCGGACCCAATTTGGGCCTAGGCCCGGCCGGGCCTCGGTTCAGGAAAGGGGAGGCCCGGAACCGGCCCGGATAACCCCTGGGTCCGGGTCAGGCCGGGCCGGGCCTCGGTTCAATTTTTTTTTTGCCTTTTCCTAATTAACCCCTAACCCCCCACCCCCAAACCATCTCAAATGACCCAAAATACCCAGCCCAACCCAAAAACTTAAAAAAATTCAAAAAAAATAAAAGAAAAATAAAATAAAATGGCACGGACCAGGCCCGAACCGGCCGGTCCGGTTCACGTTTTGAGGGGCCCGAGCTCGGACCGGAACCCCAGCGGGTCGGGCCTACCCGAACCGGTCACTGACCGGGCCACCGGGCCGGAACAGTGCCGGTTCAGGCCGGTTCCGGGTCGGGCCACCCGGCCCGAGTCCTGGCCTAACGACTAACGTAGAGTGTTCGGGTTGTGTGTAGGGCGCATCCTACTCTGACATATGATTTCTCCCCAGGTTTTTCGCGTAAGCGCTTCATGGAGATTATTTTTGTTTAAAATTAATTTAATACGGAGTACTTGATACTTGCGGCATTGCAATAAATTTTTTGATTTTGCACTTGGGAAAAGTGTTTCTGGAATTAGTTAGATTTGATTAGTATATTATGTATTCGTGTATTTTTGTATGTTGAATTTTGCAATACTATGTGAATGCGGATGTAAAAACATCAAAACACACAAATCTTTTTGTAAAGAAAATGAGAAGTAATTTTCAAACATGCATCCCAAAAATGACGGCAATGAGAAACATATATATTACCTCAAAGTATCACACGTTCGCTCATTGTAGCATACTATCGTATTATATATAATCACTCATATATTACTGTTTCACTACCTATCCGGCTATCCCATACAACATCATTATTCAACAAGAATATGAAGACATCAATATAATGCTTCTGTAATGAATTATAATATCGTCCCATCATATCTTCAACATGTACAAATGTACATCTTTAAACATGTGTATGGTAATAAGTACATCTTAATCAAATTTATTGTATTAAAGTGCACGTTTAAAAATATATATAATTACTTGCACAAAAATCAAGACCAAAGAGTTATATATAAGTTAATGGTGACCAACAAAACCAGTAGGACATTGGGTTAAAACTAAAGTGGAAACCATAGGTGTTAGGGCCGTTTTTTTAGCAAGTTAAATACCTTATATGGAACAAGAACCACCAAAATTGGGGGCCCAAATTTTTAAATATTAGTATTACAATAAAGTTATTATTATATACAAAGTAATATTAATATGTAGTTATTTTAAATTATGTTTTTCCTATATGAACACTTGAACACAATTAATTTTGTTGAACTATGTGAGTTGTTATTATATGTGATTTTATTTTTATTCATATATGGGGCTCAACTATGCATTTGGAACCAGAACCTCTAATATCATTAGACGACCTTAATAGTTAATAGGTGTGGAAATCCTAATTGTAACTCTAGTTGGAGAGTTAGAGACAATAAAACGAGTAAGAGATTTTGATTAGAGTTAGAATTTTCACACTACTACAATTTTTTTTTTATAATTTCATATCGGTTTTAGTGTTTTAAGGGGGACTTGCACAGTTGCACTCATTTATTACGTAGTATTAGTTAAATAGAGCACAAATGAAAAAGATGGTCGACTAATTTCTAATTCACAAGGAAGCTCATCTTTTCCCTCCTGAACTTCTTCATTCGTTATGTTCGTGAACATATTTGTTCCTTAGTTTTTTATCTTCTACGTAGTATAAACATACAACATAATCTAAGAAAATAGGAAAAATATTAAACAAATATTGAAAAGTGAATATGTCTATTGGGAATGGGGAAAATAATTAAAATACCCCAAACTTTGATGGGGTGTGAGGTAAGCACCCCAAACTTGCATATGTATTTTAAATATCCCAAACTTTATATAAAAATTTATTTTAACACCACATTCATGTATTATTTCATTCAAAAATGTAAATTTATGGTGTTAATTGCATATTTTGAATTTTTTAGCATTCATGAAGATGAAATTAAAATTCTAAACTTCTATTGTAAAATAATACTACCCCACCTCCCCACACACTCTATATAATTGCATCATTTTCAATTTGCTATTTTAAATTATGCAATTAACACCATAAATCTACATTTTTGAAAGAAATGATACATGATCATGGTGTTAAAATGACTACTTATATAAAGTTTGGGGTATTTAAAATACATATGAAAGTTTGGGGTGTTTATCTCACACCCCTTTAAAGTTTGGGGTATTTTAATTATTTTTCCCATTGGGAATAGATATCTTGTGATATCTTTACTAATTATTACTACCTCCGTCCACTAACATTGGTTATGAGGAGATGGTGCAGATACAAGAAAAGCAAGTTTATGTAATTGATATTAAATATTTGAATTGATAAAATGAGAATAAAGTAAGAATGATTTAAAATTGCACAAATTTTATCAAATTTAATACTCATGTCTCATTGGACTTTTTCAACTTTCATTCTAATGAAAAGGATCTTGATTTTTATAAAATAGAAACATATGTTTATACTACGTAGAAGCATACAGCATAATCTAAGAAAATAGGAAAAATATTAAACAAATATTGAAAAGTGAATATGTCTATTGGGAATAGATATCTTGTGATCTCTTTACTCCAAATTATTACTACCTCCGTCCACTAACATTGGTTATGAGGAGGTGGTGCAGATACAAGAAAAGCAAGTTTATGTGATTGATATTAAATATTTGAATTGATAAAATGAGAATAAAGTAAGAATGATTTAAAACTGCACAAATTTTACCAAATTTTGTACTCATGTCTCATTGGACTTTTTCAACTTTCGTTCTAATGAAAAGGATCTTGATTTTTATAAAATAGAAACAAGCTTAACTAGCTTAACTGAAGTTGTTCAAACATGTCTAGTCCCAAAAACTTTCCTACTTTCATGTTAAAGAAATGAATATGTGACTTTGTTCATTTAGCTCTCATATATCTACGTACTACACAAACTTTAATCACACAGTTTTTACTTTTTCTAATTACACACTCAATATGAAGTTAACAAAGTTGAGTGAGACGGAAGTAATATGAGACAATTTTAGTGAGACGAATCGAAAAGTAAAAATGAGACGATCTTAACAGGACAGTGATAAATTTGTTTATTATAATGACTTTGACGAGCCCAGTAATGGAATGTGGGCTATGGGAATAAAATTAGATGTTTATTATATTTTATGAATAAGACATTGAAATGCATGACTTTACCCAATTGTTTCATACGGAGTATGTGTTTTTAAGTTTATTTTGTGAATATGAAACAAACCAACACAAATGATACTCCGTAATAGTTATTTCAACTCTTACTAAGGGACTGTTTACTTTTTTCTTCATTAAATTCTGAATGGATTAAGACGTCTGTCTGGATTAAGTGACACAAAGATAACAAGTTTTTTTACTATAGATGCTGAATGAGATGTCTGAATTATATTTAATGACCAAATAACCCTTCCGTCTAGAACAAGTGCTGGATTTATATTTCCTTTTCTTTTTGTTTTTTGGAATCGCCACCATGTTCCATACCTAAAGAATGAAATGAGTATGCCTAAAAACATCAAAAAAGTGAAGGTCTTACCGATCCATCATATCATGCACGCACACGAAAATTGGCAACATGTTATATAACAAACAAACTAAAACTAGACTGCTGCAAACATGGATGCTAAAGCTTAACAAAGAAAACTGATTTACAGAAGGCAATCACAATTTCACAGCTCAATTACGGAAATTTTAGCTAATTACGAAGTATATAATATAATCAATTTACTAGCAAATTTGAAAAATAAACTGAACAAGAAGAGAACAATAAGATTTAGAATAAGAGCAAATAGATGGATGAAGCCGATAAGGAGCTTCTTTCACGATAGATCGCACACAGTTACAGACAATCACCAAGGGCTTGGCCGCTTGGGTAGTTGGGTATTGTCAATGTTAGAGAAACGATGGAATATACAGAGGGGGATAGAACCGAGATAGCCTATACACGAAGTGTCTGAATGGTAAGGAGTATAGAAATTCTGCTGAACGATCAAGTAAGAATATGTCTGACCGAATAAGTCAAGTTCCAAATTAAGTCCCAAGCAAATGCTGATATGTAAATGGGGCCTAAGCAACCCTTCAAGACTTGAACACATTGAGACCCAACTTGACCTCATTCAAATACACTCCACAACAAATTACGATATTATTATTACAACATACATAGACACGGTTTCTATAACTCGGTTTAGTTATAGAAACCATCAATTCACCTTTGAAACAACACAAAAAATGGCTTACATATTTTACTTCAATCAAATTCTAGACCCACGAATGTCAATACCAATTACGCTTAACTCCTCACAAGTAAAACAACTTAGGGGCTTTTCCCATTCCAAGAGAATATCAGAGGAGCTTATGACTACTCTGCAAGATACAACATTCTTGTCAAAAATAACAATGGAACAATTTTCATAAATGCCTTCCCGTGGCGGAAGATTCAACAAGTGCGACTTTGGGGCAGATAACCTACACTTCTTAGCATCACTGGTTACAAAAAATCTTTCTTGGTCTCCGACATTCAAGAAAAGCCGATGGTGGCGTCCCAAGAGCTCTGACACGTAATTCATGTCTCCTTTAGAAAGAGCATAACGGACACGAGTGGAAGAAACCAGTCCCACGTCGTTCGGGTCATAGAAATTTAAGTGCTTTGGATCTTGATTCTTGTCCATAACTGAACTAATTATACAAGATTTCACACCATATTCATCACACAGCCTTACAAGGTCTGATGCATCGCCAGAAGCCTTGTATCCAAACCGGTAGTTTTCTCCTATATCAGATCACAAATTCATATTAAGCTCCAGTAGTTCCCTCCTTTGATACACAATGCATTTGAAATCCTTTGATACACAATGCATTTGAAAGATTTGGGCACATAAATTAACGCGTGAAACTAAATGACCATATTAGCCTCGCTGAACTATGTCTATTTTTCTTAGAAGCTGAAAGTATATTCATCCGTTTTCAAATAGTGGTTGGTTAACTAAAAGAAATAATGATAGGACTACTACTCCATACTAGATTAATATGACTGAAAAAGAATGCCTTAGTTTAGGTCAGGAAAGTAACTAAATGTATTGTGCTCGCAAATAAATGTTCATTAAGCCATCCAATAAAGTAGAAGTACATCATAGTAAAATTACCAATGTACCCTAAAAATGTGTGCTAGTCCATTAGCTAAAAAAGTATATAAAAAAACAAGACTTTCGTTTGTTTTTTTTTTTGGGTCAAAAGACTCAAAACTAAAACATCAAGCCAGGCGTACCCAACTAAACTTCACACTTGTCTTTTCAAGTCAAAATCCATAAACTTTGACCATTAATTTGTATCAACAACATCCGGTCTTACTCCCCAAAGAGTTTGAGGCCAGTTAACATGAATTGACATCTGATACCAATTCATTTTTGTGTAAATAATAGTATTATATAAAACTCTTGGTGAAGGTACTCCTGATCAAATTGCTTAAATATTCACATGTTTTTGAAATATTAATCCATTATGCTATTTACCATTCTATAGTATATAAATGATAATGGCCAAAGATGAACATCAAAGACCATGATACTAAGTGAAGTTTATTTGGGATTGAGGGAGTAAATCTTACATAAGTGCAACAACTGCCTATAATGTACCTGCCACCACACCATGCACACCAAGGTCTTTTGACAACTTCTTAACAAAGTGGCGAGGAGTGAAGTTCCTAACTTTTGAAAATTCAATTTGAAATTCTCTGGGAATCATTTGACCACAATAGGGAGCCCACGACGAGAGAACTCTTTTGCGGTCACATTTGGCAACAATAGGAGCCCTGTAAATACACATTTACACAATATCTTGTTTAGCATTTGAGAAATGTGCAGAACTACAGAACAACTGTCAACCTACTGTATGATAGATCTAAAATTCTCAACTCCACACCCTAAAAACATAAATTTAGTAAAACAACCATATAAATTATCAATATATAATAGGATTAGAGGAAGTGGTCCAGCTTAAGTGGTCGCTGACTAACTCTCCCATACGGGAGGTCTCGATTTCGAAACTCCATGAAGGGAGTTTCGGCCATCCCTGTTTACCCTAGGTTCGCCCCCAACCCCCCCCCCCCCTCCCGACCCTCCCTGGGGTGAAAAAAATTATAACAGGATTTCATGACTTTGAACAGTTGTCCATGCCCAAATCCAAGTGTACATTGCTAACAATTAAAAAGATGTACCTAAGCAAAACAAGACCTCTTTTTTTACTAGACCAGTAGTACATTATTATATATTTATAGATTTCGAGAGGTTTTTTAATACGTCAAACACACTTTCAAGGATGGAAGATATTGGGTATACAAAAATCCTTCACCTTTTGTCATACTCCCAAACCTAAAACTTACAAACCAAAACGTAAAATTAATGAAAAAATCACCATCTTAGGGAAAACACTGGATGAAGTCAGAAAGAGAGTTGTTCTTACTATCCACTTATTTACCACTTATATATGAAAGGTTCCACTAAATCACATGACAACACAGAGACACGTTACCTAGATTCCCAACCAAGTACCTCGGCCATTCCAATAAATGAGAGTAGAAATGGAGCTCCTATTTTCGCTGCTTGAATTGCAAGCTCTCTGTGACCAATGTGAAGTGCATCAAACTTACCCAAAGCCACAACCCCGCCTATTAAAGCAACAACACCAACACCAATTACAATGTTGGTGTGTATATAAGTTAGTCCCATTTACATGTAAATGTGGTATATATGTAACACTGAAAACCAGACAAAAAAAACCATGCACTTGACCAAATTTAAAACAAATCTGTATTACACACACCCATTATAGAATATTGATGGGAACAGAAAACCAGAAATATATAGATGTGTTTTTTTCATTGGATTAGTTTAATGATGACGATACTGCTAAAAACATAATGACAATAAAGTATAATTGAACGTGAAAGATCTTGAACAAACCTGCAAGAATGGATAATCTTTCTGGTGGATGCTCATTTCCATCTTGAGATTGACTTAATATGAAAACATGAATGGAAAGATTGAATTATTGGAATTATTCACCAATTAAAACTGAGGTTAAATGCTCAAGTTCAACACATAGACTGAGGAGTTAGATCAAGACAAAACAGCTTTATCCTTTCTTACACTATCTGTAACCACAAACACACACAAAGCCGCAGAGCTATCTCCATCATATAATATTCTCGTCCCACTCAATTCAAAGTAAAGATGAAAGGATTGAAATTTGTCTTTTTAAAATTAGAGTTGAAGACATTTCCTTTAAGCTTCCATGAAAAACTAGAATATGTACTTATGTTTCCTTGTAATACCTCCAACGCATGATATAACAGGCTTTACTTTAAGGTAAAATAAAATAAATTTATTGAGCTCCATTCCTGTTTTATACCAAAAAGGCCACCTATATAAATCGTTGAAGTATTTGATCCCACTCTGCTGCCATTATTAGCTAAACACTTCTTAATCAACCTAATTTGAAAATAATTCAAAAATATACATACCAGCCATCCCTGTCACCACTGAATAAGAGTAGGATAACATTTATTATTTTCATAAATTATGCTAGTAATAAATAAGAAATAAAGGACATATAATTTGTACCTTAAAGAATCAGATAGCAAGGATCTTTGGCTATGTACAGATTTAGGTTGCATAGATTTGAAGTACAAAACTCCCAACTCATTAACTTTATTATCAAACCCGCTGCAGGAAGAATTCTTATTACTGCAGTGGAGCAATGATGGGTTCCAACCAATCATGGGTCGTTGAAGGATTCCAAAAAAGGAACCCATAATAACCTACCAAATCTACTTTCATACACTTTACAGAGATCCTACAAAAAAATACAACGCAATGATTTCTCATGAAAAAATAGTTTGTGAATAAAAGAACCCACATTTATAACATCAGAAAAAAGCACCAAAATCCTAAACCTGTTTACATCCTGGTTCACAAAGTAATGTACACCCCAGTGCATTAAATATCATTGCGAAATTCAACTTATACAATTAAACAACAACATTGCCCTACGGGGGGTAAGGGGGTCGGATGTACGCAACCTTGCCCGTGTACTAATGCACAGAGAGACTAATGAAGAAAATCGCATAAAAAATTGCATGGACTGACTACTGCTTCATAACAAAGAAGCGCAAATAGTTCAGTGAGCCATTTTACTTTATTCCATCATATTCCCAAACTAAAAAATAATGTATTTGGTTCCATTGGAAACGATGGAAAACATATACAATTAAATATTTAAATCATCATCATCATTACCCCAGTGCTGCAAAGGCTCCCACCTACGGTGGGGTAAGGGGATCAGATGTACGCAGTCTTACCCCTATACTAAAGCACAGAGAGATTGTTTCCGAATGACCCATGGAACATATACAATTAAATGAGAGACTGTTTCCATATGACCCATAGAGAAAATCGCGTCCAAAATTGCATGGACTGACTGCTGCTTCATAACAAAGAAGCGCAGACAGTTTAATGAGCCATTTTGCTTTATTCCATCATATTCTCAAGCCAAAAAATAATGAATCTTTGGCTCCATAGCAAATGATGGAAAACATATAAATGAAACCAAACTAATTCCGGAATCACCCGTCCCAAGTGAAAAATCAAAAAGATTATTGCAAAGCCGCAAATATAAAGTATTAAATTTTTTAAGAAAATCTCCATGAAACGCTTACACGGAAAATATGGGGAGAAATCTTATGTTAGACCTGAGTAGGACGTGCCCTGCACATGTCTCACAGACTCTACATGGATGGAATCTGGTTGGCCGTATACAATGTCAACGGCTTTGGAGGCAGCCGAGATAAGTCCAGGGAAGATGGGAGATGGCATAGGCTTCACAGCCTCACTGTTGCATTGGAAGAAATTGATGAGTTAGAAGAGTGGAATACACGACGAGAAGGAAGGTAATGGCCGTACGGCTAAAGGGCAGCTGTTGAAGTCATGCGGTACTCATATATGTTTGGAATTTTGGGAGCCCAAAAATGCTATTGGTACACAAAAAATGTATACACTCTCTACACCTTTTAACTATCTTTCTAGTAGTCTTCTACTGGTGTTGTACGGGTTAACAAAATAATAAAAACACAATTGTAAATTGTAACTTGCAAAGTAACAATATAACAACCCTATCATTTCAAGAACTATACCAGTGATGGCCTCGGTGTGGGCCACCCTACCCGGGAACCGCCCCGGCCCGATACTGTGTGGGCCCGGCCCGACCCGGGTACCTGTTCCGGGTCTAGGCCCGGTTGTAGGATGAAACCGGGGCGGTTCCGGGATTGATAAAATGTGAACCGGCCCGGCCAGGCCGGGCCCGGTTCGGGCCTTTTTATTTTTTAGTTTTTTTTGTTTGGGCTGAGTTTAAATGGGCTGGGCTGGATGTTTCTGATGGGTTTGGGGGATGGGGGGGTAACGGATGAAATAATCAAGAAAAAAAAACCGGACCCGGCCCGCACGGAACCGGTAGATAACCAGGCTGGCCCCGGGCCTAAACCATTGCCATCCAGACCCGACCGGGCCTAGGCCCGACCCGGACCCGACCCGACCCGGGTCCATCACTAAACTATACTATCCTAACATACTTTCAATGATTCACACGTCAAGAAAGCACTACCTGAATAGTAACAATGACAATGTGTACATGGGTGGATCCAGAATGTTACAATGGGGTGGGCTGAGAAAAAATTGAAGACACATACATAATAATACGTCAAGTCGTCAACACTTAAAATATTCATCAAAACATCATTTAAGGTGTGCCCATAGATACATAAATCGCTAAACTACCCGCGATCTACGTACCGAACGCTTCGTACCGAATCGCGGTACGAACGCGATCCGTACACAGCATGGAACGCTCTCTCTGGAACGGTGTGCCAGTCAATCCCAAACGCATCTGGAAGCGAGCTCAAACACCGTCTGATACGACCTCAGTCATCTTCAATCGCGATCGGAAACTCAACGCAGGTCGTTCCGCGTATGTATCCCCATCGATCGCTATTTGGAAAAAAAATTAATCGTCGTTTGGTTTGACTAGTTTGAGACGCGAAGTTTAAAATCAGTACGCTTCGTTTTAAAATAGGCGTACCGATTCCCAAGTCCCAACTAGCTCTTCGTTTTTTTATCCTAATTATTCCTACTCATCAATTTTACATTTTAATTAACTGAGTATTAATGTTTTTGCTTTTGTTTAATGTTATGAAATCATGTTATGAAATCCGTTTTTGTTCAATGGTGAAATCTGTAATTCTATATTCTATAATTCATTTTTATATTTTTATTACAGTACCAAAATATTAGGTACATCGTACTGAACTTATGGTACATCGTACCGAATGCGTACCGAAATGAACCTACCCCCCTCCGAATCGGATACGCTAGATCTAGCGAACTGCGTTCCCGTATCGAATCGTACCGCGAACAATGTGACTATGGGTGTGCCTTACGCGACTTCAAAGTATAAAATTCATCAATAATAGAATCTACATCTACATTATTGACAAAATCTCGTTCAATGTAGATCATCAATGAATCTTCAAGAAAAATGATCTCCCATTTTGTTACGAAGTGCCACCTTCACATGCTTCCTTTCTTGGCAATATGTTCATTATCCATTCTAAAATACTCCGTATATTTTAAATATTGATATGAATTAAAATACTTGTATAAAATTATAAAAGTAATTAGAAAAAAAAAACAATCGGTGTACCTAAAACTAATAAGTATTCCCAATTTCAAAATTTCAAAATTCAATTGAAATTTTCAATTCTTTATTACATGTCCACACAATAAATAAATCATTTTCTAATGTTCAATTGTGTAATGAATAAATCATTCTCTAATATTCAATTCTATCTTTAATAATTATAAATTTATAATGAATTAAACACTATTTTAATTCATATTGAAAAATTAATTGATAATCAAATTGGTTCACTAACCCTAAAACTCTAAAAAGCTAAAAATAATAATACACAACAAGTCAATAACACAGTCACATAATTGTAGAACAACTATGTAAAAAGCTCACCTGGAGGTTGGAGCTGGAGGCAGAGGCCAGAGCGGCAGAGCCGGAGTCCAGAGAAGGACGGCCGAAGATGGAGGTCTCTGGACGGGAGTCGTGGTCACAGCGCCAGCTCCTGCCTTCTTCGTCGCAAACTCCCGAAGTCGCAAGTCGCAGAGCTGTCTTCGTTCTTGGATTTTCTTCTTCGGACTTCCGCTAGTTCGCAGGTAAGGCTGGGCTGTGGGCTGGGATTGGAATTAATTTGGGCTGGGCTGGAAATAAAATTTATAACTATATACTAAGGGTGGAGTTTTTCGACAAAATTTATAACTATATACTCTTCCGGTCAGGAATTCCTGACCGGAACCTCCGTCCGGACGGCGGCATTTGGCCGCCTTCCGGGTGGAATTTTTCGACAAAATTTTTATGACATGTTCTTCATGAAGTCTAGTGTATCCACAAAAAATTTCAGCCAAAAACTCATTCGGGAAGGTCGTCAAATGATTTTTGCAAGTTAACTGGTCCGGAAAATACATATTCCGGACCAGTTAACTTGCAAAAATCATTTGACGACCTTCCCGATTGAGTTTTTGACTGAATTTTTTTGTGGATAAACTAGACTTAATGGAGAACATGCCATAAAAATTTCATCAAAAAATGTCACCGGGAAGGCGGCCAAACGCCACCGTCCGGACGGCGGTTCCTGTCCGGAATTCCGGACATGAATAAAATTCACTAAGGGTGATTCTATATACAGCCACAAAATGACTAATCACAGCCACAAAATTAATTTAATTAAATAATCTATTTATTAATATCAACTTTGCCCCTAAACATATAGGTATAACCCCTCCAGTTAGCCTCATCCATCGTTCCTAAAATAAGCTGATTGATGGGGTCGAATTCCTCCATTATCCATACCTTTCTCTTCGATGTCTTCTTCCCCATTCTCCGCCGGATTTAGACTTCTCTTGCTTGTTTTCCTTTCCATCCCCGCCGGATTACTTATACAGCACGATTAGCCGATCGGCCTTTCTTTTCTTCCTTGCCGTCCCCACCAGACCGGCTTTGCTCGTCTTCCTCCCCCACCCCTTCCAGAAATTTGTAGTTCCAAACCAAAAGGAAAAGTGAAAAACTTCCTAATTTTTACATCTTCTATTAGTCTTTCAAAAAAAAATCCCATTAGATCAATGGATCCCTAGATAATTAAATCTTGCATTCAATTTTTATTTTATGTGCTCAAGTGCGTTTGTTTTCAATCGTATTGTTACGAGAGGTGGATTAAGAAAGAAATCTACAGTAAAGAAATTGATCACTTTTTGAAGACTTCTTTAATTTTGGATCCCAGCAGCGCATTTGAGAAGTAGATTTCAATGGCAGAACGACGTAATGCTCCACAAATGTAAAACAGAGTAGCAAATTAGCATTGATTAGAACTCCAATTGGTTGGGTTGAATTGAAGCAGCGAATCAGCGATGATGGCGGGTGATATACGAAGTATATACATCAGGGCAAATTAGACATTTAGAATAACGTTTTTAATTAAAAATTAAACATGTGATTGTAAATAGCAAAATTGTGGCTGTGTATAGAATTGCCCTATACTAATTACAAAAGAAAAAAATTGGGTTGGGCCGGAGCCCACCTCTGCCCTAACAGTCATCCGCCTCTGCATGTAATCATGTATAAGAGTTTTTGTCATTTTTAATCCTCCGACTATTATGTCATTGACACTTTTGGTACTCAACTTTTTTTCCACTTTTAGTCCTCAACTATTCTACTAGAGACATTTTTGGTACTCGTCTTTGAAAATTTCCATATATAGTCCTTCGACTTTCATAAGAGTGACACTTTTTGTTCTTCAAATATTATAATGTTGACATTTTTAGTCCGCCATTTATTGTATCAAAATTATAGTGGAAGGACTAAAAATGTCAATTTGATAATATTCAGAGGACTAAATTTGGAACAATTTGAAGTCGAGGACTAAAAGTGTCTCTAGCAGTCTAGCACAATAGTCGACGACTAAAAATAGAAAAACTAAAAGTCAAATACCAAGAATGTCACTGACACAATAGTCAGGGGACCGAAAATGGTAAAAACTCCCATGTATAATAAGGGAAAATAAGATGGTGGAATGAGTTTTTACATTTATACTTTAAGATGAAAATCCATATGGACAGTGGTCTGCGATCATATACATAAAAGAAATTGCCTCAAATCAGAGTAAAACAAATACAAAGTACATTAATAGAAGTTAAAAGTAAAAATTTTCCCGGATCGAGAGCGAATCGATCTTATATTAAGAAGAGAACCATGGTAAGTGCAAATATTTGTGTTTCTAACAAAATGATGTCAATTTTCACACTAACACATTTTATATCTTTTGAAGCATATTTTTTTATTTTTAGGAAAAATTCACACCAATAATCCCACCTATTGATGGTCTTCTATTATTAATCCCTCCTCCTGATTATTCTGAAATAATACAAACTAAGGGGTTAATCTTCCCCCTTTAGTCTAAAGGTACTGACAACCGGGTATGCCAGTAATTATTTTAAATTCGTTTAACTAACCACTGTAGCAGCTCCTTAAACAGACCTAGCTCCCATGTGCGCAAGCTCCCAGAAGTTTGGCTCATCGTTTTGAAGCCCAACCTCCCTCCTGGGCTTCGCAGCTCAGCCCCATCCCCTCCCATGTCTTCTCCCTCGGACACGTAAGACGATCAAAATCTATTAGCCCGTTTAGCCGATATATGTATACTGTCTTGTGTATTATGTGCATTGAATTACCGGGTTTTACTCTTCGGATAGCTTCATACTCCAATTCATAAATGGAACCAGCACAATCTGCTTAAGAACACTGAGGTCTGGTTGAAGGTAAACCAGTCAACTACTGCCCCTGATTTTCCCTTCATTTGTGCTTTAATTTATCAATGGAAGATCACATATAGTCAAATATGGTAAATTTATAAACCTGAATTGTCATCAAGACGGGGAAGAATAACCGGAGATGAATAAGCCCCTTATTATTGGTGTGATGATAATTACCTCCAATTGAGTTCGAAGAAGATGATCCACTGACGGACCTCATTACAAATGTCGAAGAAGACGACTCACCTCCGATTCAATTTGGCCTCTGTATTTCCCTTCTCAGACCGTGAAATTCAGTCTGACTAAGTCAGACCGTGAAATTCAGTTCACCTCCAATTCAGTCCGGCTAAGTCGCGCTCGTTGTCCTCCTTCGTCCTCGCGTTTCAGATGTCCTCTGCGTTATCTTCACAGCAGCTCCACATTTGTAAAAGGGAGAGATTAATTACCACGTGCGGTCACATGACTATGAATTACCGGTTAAGACCCGAACTTTAGGTTAATGGAGTAAAGGAGGAAGATTAACCCCTTAGTTCGTATTATTTTAGAATAATCAGTAGGAGGGATTAATAATAGAAGACCATCAATAGGTGGGATTATTAGTGTGAATTTTTCCTTATTTTTATTAATTATGTAAAAGTTATAGGATATGTGTGCCTTTTATTAGTTTTATAGTATGAGGTACGAGTGTCGTCTTGGTGTCATCGAGGTGCTAGACCTAACTTGGGCAAATTAAAGCTATCAACGATAACCGCAGGCCTTTCAAATCCCAAACCTAATGCAAGAGTTTTACAACAAACAAAAGAGTAAAAACAAAACATGAAAGTCTGACCGTGGAAATAACAAACTAAACACACAGTAAAATAAAAACCAGCACTCGATCTTCTGATCAGAATCACCAAAAGTACCACTGGCGGGTCTAGGAGACCTGACCCGCAACCTCCCCATTTTTGGTCCCTCAAGTGCCATACCCTCACCAGCTGAGACTGATGCTAGTATGTTTGCTTATTATGAATTTATGTACTCCCTCCGTCCCTGAAAATACTTCCAACTTTTCCTTTTCGTCCGTCCCAAAAAGAACTCCACTTTTCCTTTTTGGCAAAGAATTTGTGGTTCACAACATTTCTCTCTCCTCTGCACAACTCTCCACCACACAATTCTCACTTTCTTAATCCGCGTGCCACTTTATTATGGAAGTAAATTCAAGAACGGAGGTAGTACTTCAAATGACAACTAGCTTTTCACCCGTGCTTTGTACGGGATGAAGTTAGTAAACAATAAATTATTTGGGAATTATAAAAATGATGTGATAAATATAAATCAACGTGTATAAATTCGGGACTATATTGTTTCTAACAAAAAGTAAATGAAGGTAGAAAAAAATACAAATCATTATATACTTCCTTGTAAACAATGTTTATAGTTTTCTGAATTGCCCGATTTTCCGTCATCATCACATATAACAAATTTCAACCTAGACGGGGACGTTACTCTTGAGATCGAGACATAAAGTTGTCCATGGATGAAAAGTTCTAAACCGGACGATGCAAGAAAACATCAATCCGCTCCAAAGATTGTGTCTGACTCTTATTAATGGTCATCACATAACTAAGCATTAAAGAGAGCTGTCTAATATTGAAAATGTGAACAACTTTTGGTCGATGGAGTAAAGCTAAGCTTCGGAAAAAGAAATTTTTGTCCTGCATTTGTTCACTACTCCGTTGTACGGGATGCAATTAGTAAGCATTGAGTTAATTCATAACATAAAGAAATGTTATGATATATAGATAAAACAATGCTTATACGTTTTTCACACAAATATGCCAAAATAAAAATTACAATTTAATATATACCTCCTCAAAAACAACATTTAAAACCTTGACCAATTTCTTATATTATCACATATCATAAACTTCAACATGGAAGGGAGAAAACTCTTGACATTACAATGAACAACTGCTCATGAGTGAAAAACAAACTACGAAAGAAAACACAAACCTTCTCCAAATAGTCATTAACTCTTGTTGATCTTCATCCCATAAGTAAACATCAAAGGAATGAATGATCTAAGCAAAATTGTGAGTGACAACTTCAAGTCATATTTAGTCAAGCTAATATTACGTATAAGTTTTGGATTAAGATATTTCTTTCGTACATATTAAAATTTTAAAATATATGATTGCTCGTTCAAGTGAAGTTTACATCCCAGATTCCCAGGTAAAAAACTCACATAAGTAAGATCATATTAATATATATGAATGATATAAAAATATTACAAAATTAGTGGTATAATATTACATATTAATAACTATCACAACATTATTTGTGATAAATGCAAAAAAAATTAGAAAGTCTGGTAAATGAAAGAAAAATTAGAAGTAATGGTAAAAGAAACATTTAATGACATTTATTGTATTTATACGTATAAAAGAAACTTTGTCCATCTGTATCACTACAATAGTTTTATCTGAAATGTAACTTCAACTATGTGCATGTACAATTAATATTCAAGTAAATCCACGCACACTTTAAAATTGTGCACCTCCACCGATCCAATAATAGATTAATAGCATTCCTTGCTCTCTATTGATTGCTTGGTGCCGTATTATTTGAACAAAAAAAAGAAGAAAATGACATGTATAGATAATACATTTGGGAGATACAATTATGCAAAGTTTTGCCATGTGTCATCTTCTAAGCAAACTTTCATTATAATATGTTAGATTTTCTTTCCAATTTAATAAATAAAGTATACTTTCATAAAATCAATATATATATATATATATATATATATATATATATATATATATAGACAAATATTCCTGTCCGGACGTCCGGACAGGGAACCGCCGTCCGGACCGCGGCGTTTGGCCGCCTTCCCGGTGGAATTTTTTGATGAAATTTTTATGGCATGTTCTCCATCAAGCCTAGTTTATCCACAAAAACATTCAGCCAAAAACTCAATCGGGAAGGTCGTCAAATGATTTTTGCAAGTTAACTGGTCCGGAATATGTATTTTCCGGACCAGTTAACTTGCAAAAATCATTTGACGACCTTCCCGGTTGAGTTTTTGGCTGAATTTTTTTGTGGATAAACTAGACTTGATGGAGAACATGTCATAAAAATTTCATCAAAAAAAGCCACCGGGAAGGCGGCCAAACGCCGCGGTCCGGACGGCGGTTCCGGTCAGGAGCTCCTGACCGGATCATTACTCTCTCTCTCTCTCTCTCTCTCTCTCTCTCTATATATATATATATATATATATATATATATATATATATATATATATATATATATATATATATATATATATATATATATATATATATATATATATAAGAGGAACTTTTTAAGAGCATACAAAGCGTCACATAATCCTGCCATGTCATTATATGTATTAGTTATTTAGTTAATTTGTACCTTCTATTTTTATTAGCTAGATTCTATTTTTGATTGCATATTGATATGGAAACAAAAATCCGTAGAAAGTACTATATTAAACAAGCTCTATTTTAGGCTAAGTTTATATATGACATGTATTCTTAGCCAAAAATACAATACGTTTTAATTTCTATAACAATTAAATGTTATAGTATACGTTTAGGCTTAGAATTATGTGTTAGAATTATACGTTTTAAATGTTATCGTATACGTTTATACATTTAGGCTTACAATTTAAAAAAAAAACAGGCTCTATATTTAGACTATTTTACTTAATATATACTCCGTATTAAATTTCTATGAATATCCATCTTCATAAGATTATATTAAACGTTTAAAATCGGGTTCATAGCAATTATATTTACTCGAGATGCTTATGTAGAAGATCAATTTAACTATTTTTCATATAATCTTTTTCTGGCTTCACAAATGGAATATATTTTACATATTTTTTCATGATTCCACTCATTTAGCTCATTCAGTCATAATTTAATCAATTTGAGTAAAATAAGTTAATTCAATTTATTTTAGTATTATCAAACAGGCTCTATATCAGACTAAGTTTATTTTTCTTTTAAATCACATTACATATGATCCGAAAGAAATCAAATTTCAAATTAGCTAAATTACATCTACCCGTGCATCGCACGGGCTTGAAAGCTAGTTAGTATTAATGGTAGATTTGAACTCACGTTACGTTAATTTAGCAAACTTCCTGAATCTAGGTAATTTAAAAAATAAAATCTCATATATATTTTAAATTGCTATAAGTTTTTAATTTGTACTTTGATGGTTACAAAAAATACACCATAATTTATAACTTTTTATTATCTTTCATATGAGACCAATATTTAATACTTCGTATATAAAAATAAAAAATAATTTAACACTTTTTATATATCTATTTTGAAAAATAATACGTAGTATAACACTTAAAAAAATATCTATTTTTAAAAAATAGATATTTTTAGAGATACATTACATTAAATTAAAATTTTAGAGATACAATTGTCAATTATGGAAATTAAATTAACAAAATAGAGCTCCGGCTATGTAAATAGTTAAGAAATTTAGTTTATTAACTAAAGGAATTGATCTATAAACAGGTCAGATCAGACCAGAAATTTCAGCTCAATTAAAAATATTTTAATCTGCCATACAATTCAATTTTATAAAATGAACCCCTAGATTTTTAAATTAAGAAAGTGTTAGACATTTCGGACTTAAACAGATCAGACCAGACCACACTTTGATAGTTATAAAATACACAAAGACCATACATTTACCAGATCAAATCAAATCCAAAAATTTCAATCCAATTAAAAACATCCTTAATATAATCTCCTTTGATGTTTTATTTAACATTGTCATCACATTATATCCATTTTCAAATTGTTGTCTTTTTAAAATTTAAGTTATTTATTTTGACAAAAAAGAACTTTTGAAAAGACTAAAATTTAATGAACATTAAGAATTTAAAAAATACATACAACTTTCCATATGTATAAGAAGCACTTTTAGTAAAAGAAAATTAAAAGGGGTAATTTTGTCTTACATGGGTAAGGTTTAGTAATTTTAAGGGGAACATAAAACAATTTTCTATTTGGATACATACAACCCGTTTGGTATGTAACACTGAGATTGGTTGAGTCGGATAAACCCACTGAAAATATGAAAATATTAGAGTGATTGCATTGGCCGAATTATTGATTGGTTATAAATTTAAGAAAAAATTACACAAAAAATATCTAAAATGATGCAGTTTGTTGAAATGGAAACTCCACAAATAGAAAGTGTTTAGAGTTAGTGTTTTGAAATAATATTACGTTTTCTACTAATTCTTATTGCCAAACAGTGATTATCAAACATCTTATGACAGCCCGACTGATTACGCTATTGACAATTCGATAATATAATCCGTCATTCGTTAACCGTTAAATCTCAAATACACTCAATGTGATTTGTGAACCTCTAAACGGCAATATAAGGGCATATGTAGGTAAAAAGAAAGATGCAATTTTTTTGCTTATAAGATATGATAAAGTTGAGATGTAAAAGAAATAAAGTGACACAAAAAATTGATAATAAATAAAAAGAATTAAAAAACTAATTACGCTGATTCATATCGTACTCCGTATTTGCTACTATCAAATACCGTTGCAACTTGCAAGGATATTTCTGTCTCGTGATCAACACGTAGAAAATTAAAGATAATGGCGGCCAGGTCTTAAAATCGCACAGGAGCGGGAGCAAAAGAATATACGCCGTTGCCGGGGATCGAACCCGGGTCACCCGCGTGACAGGCGGGAATACTTACCACTATACTACAACGACTTTGTGTTAGAATTGCAGAATTAAGATATTTATCCCATAAGGAATATATTACAGTTCACAACTTGAGTTTAACCGAGTTAACATAATATTAATATGGTCTTATATTTTCGAGACCACTAATGCTTAAACAGTTCAACAATTTTACGTTTTAAAAATATTACAACACAAATTATCGACAGTAAAAATGAAAAAAATACGAAAATAATCCAACTGGGAATATTCTATATTTTCAGTTTTGGAACGTATAGCACCATCACCAAACAGTATAAGTGTAAAACTGTACAAGTACAAACTAGCTCTACCAACATATAAAATTTAAGTAGTTCCCTGAGGAAAATTTAAAAAAAAAATCTCAGGATAATAACAGAACTGAGGTAATTTAATACATTCACTGTGGTGGATGCTAATAAAGTGTCTACAGAACTTGAGGAGGCTTATTAGTTCTTGAACTTCAGTTTTTCTGCAGGATAAATCCTCTCTTTACTGATTTCACTGCGTCCATTCTTGTAAGAGATATCCCTGCCTACAAACTTCTTGTTTGGGGGCGGTTTCCGGTTTGCATCACTTTTCTCGTCGCCTCTTCTCCTGTTAAATGGCAAGGGAATAAGGATTTTTTCGGGAAAGGGGGGAGGGGTTTATATGTGCATATTAGAAGAAAAAGAGAGGGGATTTGAAGAGACAAACCTAAGATGATGAAGCAGCAGAAACATGAAACCAAAAATTGCAGTTCCTCCAGCAACCGTGTGCAGCAGGAATGGCATTGGCCGCACCTTTTCATTCGACACTCCATCATCATCTCTCTTGTCTTCCTCACGTGATACCTTTTCTGCCACAAGGCCCGTGTCTCTAAGCTTTCCGTCAACCTGTTTACCACAATACAAAGAGAGGCAAATGAAAAACAAAACAAAAATTAGAGATATCAACCAAATTTTCTGCTTACCACTAACTTTGAATGTCTTTCCTGAAACACACCTTAGATTAAAAAGAATTTAGTGCGCAAGTGCGCAGTTCAGTCCCTCGAATGTATGTATTACTCAAATTGGTTCTCAACTTTTTAGGGACTCAATTTGGTCCTCAGCAATGCTACTTGAACCCAATTTAATTCTAATACATCTTTGGTTCCAAATAAGAAGGGGATTTTGTCAATTCACTATATATAGTCTCAATTGAAGACTCAAATAGGTCCTCAACTATGATGTAAGTTGGACTCTGATCATTCTCTAGTGAACAAAATCTTCCTCTAAATTTGCATCTAAATTGCATAGTTGGGGACCAAATTATGACCAAAAGAAAGTTGATTACCAAATTGGGTAATACTCAAGTCGAGGGACTAAATCTGGTACTAGATAAATAAAAATTACACTTCTCACCTAAATTTCTTTGATGCTAGTTTTTTTAGTTTATTTATTGAAAATATACTTGTTCATTCACTTTCTTATCATTTTCTTTAGTATATTAAAAAATATAGTTTCATAATTTGTTTAAGTTCACCCCATTTTAGCAACAAATTTCTCATGGTCATCAAATTCAACGATTTCAGTCATATTTAAGCCTCACAAAATGGGCAAATGGTGTAAAGACCGAGTGTGATCACCTCATTAGGGAACTCGGTGCACGGAGGAGGAACAGATGAATCATCTTTTGATTCTTTGACAGCAGAAAGTGAATGCGGCAGCTTTTTTGCTACAGCTTCACAAGAAATTGAAGGAATGGCCAAATTCTGATTGTTACTATCCATTTCCCTACTCTGAAAACCACTAAGGCATCTTTCCTCCAAATCAACTGAGTATACCTTGCCAGATTTATGATATGTTTCGTATTTAGTCACCACACCATTATCCAGCATCTCATTATGGGATTCTCCATTTAAAGAGCCATCTAAGTCAAATCGGTCATCATATTCCAAATTAAGCACCCTTCCTAATAAAGAGCTCATGCTAGCCGTGGACGATACCTCCAGGTCGTCAGTATCATCGGAATCCAATACACGTTGACCAGTCTTTGACCAACAGGAATCTTTACCCGTAAAAAAGTTAAAAATATTATTATCTTCCCCTTCCAACAAAACAGGGCCATTTCCATCAGTTCCACAAATAACTGAGTCTGAAAATGCTAGATAATCAGATATATAGTTTCCTTCTTCATTTTCAAAATTAGAGTCCTGCACAGATGCATAACTCCCCGGACTACAGTCAACACGGTCGAAGTTGACTTTATGTGAGTGAAACATTCTCTGCTTTGTTCTGCTCTCTGCTCCGGGTGAATTGTCACGATCTGAAATCCAATGATGCTTTCCATTGTACTTGCTTTCTGCTTCATCAGATTCTTCTGACCAAGAATCATACTCCCTAACTTTCCGTCTTTGATGATCTTTATATGAACAGTAACTAGAGGAACTTGAAACACTATGTTGTGATGTTTCCCAGCTTCTTCTGATGCAACCCACCATATCTTTTGGCATAGAAACAGTATATGTTACCATATCAAAGTCAGGAACCTATCAAAGTGTAATCATCTGCCATTAGTAAATTATCCCCATCATAGAGAACTCACCAGCCAAAAGAGCTCAATGACTAATACACAGATTAATTAGACCCTTGAGATTTCTAAGAGTTACAAATAAGTCACTTGCCCGATCAGATGTTCTACAAGCTGTCCTATTAACACTGAAGGATTATACAATATAAGGATACCAGAATTATGAATCTTCAGATTGAACTCAGTGTTTTTAAATGCATTTTATAGGCTAAAATATTTGTAACTTTGCCTCGAAAAGAAATCTTCAGGACACGGATTGAAGGAGACTTAGTTTAAAAAAAACTCAATTTCTATAAAATATACTACGCATTAATCTATCTTATCATCTTTCAGACTTCAGTTTCATGGCGCTTGTTTGTAACTTTTGAGAACTTAGAGGAGATGGCAGCTTGAAAAAAAATGAGCAAGCGCGAAAAAGTTCCACCAACATAATATATTAATGTACATTACCTTTAAATGTTTTGACCTGGCTTTCTTTGACACTGTCCTTATGCAAATGCAAACTTTTCGAGCATTTCTTCTTTCCACAACATCTGATGGGGATAAGAGATCAATGCTATTCAATCCCAGAATTTTGCAAATCTGCAACAGGAAAATTTCAGTACCACAACTTATTGTTACAGAAAAGATTAATGTTTAATAATGGTAAGAAAAAGCCCACTGTTTTGGTCTTTCTAATAATATTATACGAAGTATAGTGTTTAATTAAAAAAAGGATTCCTCTCCAAGGATTCCTTATGGCAAAACTGTGTTCTAAAGAATGGGTGTTACCAATCATCATCATCATCATCATCATCATCATCATCATCATCATTTTCATTTACCCCAGTGCCGCCGCAAAGGCTCCCACCTACGGTGGGGTAGGGGGGTCGGATGTACGCAATCTTACCCCTGTACTAAAGCACAGAGAGACTGTTTCCGGATGAACCATAGTGAAAATCACGTCCAAAATTGCATGAACTGACTGTTGCTTCATAACAAAGAAGCGCATACAGTTTAGTGAGCCATTTTGCTTTATTCCATCATATTCTCAAGCCAAAAAATAATGAATCTTTGGCGGTGTGCACCTTTAGAAATGAGTCAACATTAGAATATGGCCTGAACCTCCCACTGCTTTTCTGGGAATGAAGTGGTTTATATTTTATATGCCTAAGCTCTGGAGTCTTTGCCAACAACATGTCCCATATAACTTTAGACACCTCGTACCTGAAAAAAGTGAAGAAGCATAATTACTACTGCACGATTACCAGAAGAGCTGCAACTTCATTACTTTTATTTTTTTAATGAAGCCAAAACTTTGATATTGCCATTGCAAAAGTATCAACCTTTGCAAGAGTTAAGTGTGCTTTTTCGGTAATAAATCATTTTCTAGTAATATGAACAACAAAATTCCCGAGAATGCAATCATTCTTGAAAACCCCTATTTAGAAAATCAAAATTTCCAATTATAACACAAAAAAATCATTTCTTGACCAAAAGATTTGTAATTCTTTCCCAACCCATAAATTGTGCCTTATCCTCGTCTGAGTCTTCAGTCTACAAGATCTTACAGAATTTCTCCATCAGCGAGCAAATCAGAAATGGGTAACTCTTCATTCAACAGGCTCACATTCAGAACTTCACTTAGCCATATCCTCGTCTGAGTCTGAAGTAAGAATCGACAGGAATAAAATCAATTAGGAATCAAGATCTCCTTTTACAGACACAGAAACGCTCCAGGGTAGTAGTCAAGACTCAAGAGTCAATGTGGGCAAGTAATTTCAGAAACAGCCCAAAGGTAAGGATATCAGTGATGAGAAGAAACAGGGTTGACCTGTAAGAAGACATCGTCAAGTTTGCGGAAGCTGGATTCAGCGGAGATGGAAGCAGACCCGGCGGCGACCTCCCGGCGGCCCATCTCAGACTTGTCGGAAAATCTTTGGGAGAAAATGAGCAATCAAGATAAGTTTTGAAGAGCAACCGCCTTAACTGTCAAGTAATATATTAGAAGCGGTAAAAGAGCATTCTTTGTAATGAAACCAAGTGGCTCAAATCCAATACAGAAAGTTCAGTGGATATGGAGAATGGGGTTGATTGGTTTGTCAGGAAGAGAGACTATCCCAATTGTCAGAGAAGGAAATGCCCAACAATAATTTCTGGCATTTTCTCTAGCGCCTTTTTTTTCAGTATTTTTGTCTTCGGCGTTTTGAAGAATCGGTTTTATTTTACATACTCCGTATATTTTAGGATGTATTTTCGTTTTCTTTTGGACTGTAATTTGCTGGTCTGGTTTGATCTGGTCTGAGCTAGTCTGATCTGGTAAACGTTTAATCTTTGTGTATTTTATAACTATGGAAATCAAGTCTGGTCTGATCTGATCTGGTCTGGTCTAGTTTGGGACTTAAAATAGTCCATAAGAAAACATCCCGGATACCTTTCTTCTTGTTTTTTTTACAATATACCTGTTTCATACGATTTTAAAACCATTAAATATATACTACGTATTTTTTATTAGAGTATTTAGTAAAATTTCCACAAAAAAGGCCGGCAAGCCAACACAAGAAGGTTTGAATGGCTTGATACATCTTTTCATTAGACTAGAGTGAATATATGGTGAAATAAGTGGGGAGCCTGTAATGTTGGTGTTTCAAACGTGACCCAATTACTAATAAGGTGAGTCGATCACGGAGCAATGCCTTGTTGAGAATTAATTTGATACTGCGGGATGTAGTCCAGTACTAATAGGAAGGGAGTGTCGTGAGAGATTAGATTTCGGGTTCAACTTCAAGTAAAGACTTGGTACAAAATATCACTCTCTTTTCATTAGTGTGGATCTAACCTCGACCGACATTCTCTCGGATAACTGTGAAATCGGTTGAATTGTGAGAGGCTCTCAAAGATGGGGTATCATCTTTTTTTGTGAATGTATTAGATTGGGAAACTTCTTGCAAAACACAATTTTTCTTTTTTGAGACACGTTTGAATCAAGGAAGCAATGGGACCTTTCTTAAGACAAATGGAATTGTTAGCACAATTTGGACCTATATACGTAGTATTATTCAAGATAAATAATACTCCGTACATTAAGAGCGGATTATTACTTCCGTTTGCCTCTCAAATTAAGTCCAAAATCATATGAAATGATTTATGTAACATGCAAATGAGCCTCATTGATGTTCGATTTTATTGCAAATACTAGTCATGACTCATGAGGAAAAAATATATTAACCAAAATACTTGTCAAATAAGGAAATGTATTGAAAGAGTAACTTAATTCAGGGATATCCAAAAAGGAAAAGAGGATCTTGTTTTAGCCTAGGCTCAGATATTGTGGTCGTTATTATATTCGGATTGTGATGAAATTATTATTGTTAAAGTCTACGGAGTACAATTTTATTCGGTTATTTCGGAGATGAAATATGGATCAACATTCATACTTTTGTTTAAATTCAAAATTAGTACCTTGATAAATAAGAATCCAAATTAGTACCTTGATAAATAAGAATCCAAATTTGTCCCGAAAAAATTCGTCATTTTTTAATTAAAATAATTAATTTGTAGTTCTATTCAATTTTCTCTTCTCTGCACATATCTTAACCATACAACTTTCGAAGGCTACCGTGAAGCTAGGGTTGCAAGATCCGACTTTCCGATGCTTGGTTTGGCTATGTCGTTGACTCTGATGGTGATTGAGATGGGAGCTGCACCAACAGTGTTTGATCCGGGTCGAATGCTAGAGTTATGAGGCCCGATTAAAGCCCCGAGCTTAAGACAAGTCTTTCAACAGTTGGGATTGAAGGCAGATGGTGAAGCGATATTGGTCCGTCCCCCTCCTGAACCACCACCAGGGAAGAAACGAGCGGCTAGGGTTTGGATGCTGCTTTTACTTAATTTTGCTGTTTTTATTTGTTATTTTATCGTTTAGCACTTTCGAATTAATTTCTGCTTTGGGAACACTAGCGGTAGTTTTCATAGTTGTTTTATTCAAATTAGGTTTGTGGGTGGAAGCGATAAGACTTGTTTGGCCGTTAAAATCTTTGAAGCTCTCACATGGTTCGCGAATAGTCTCGCTCTTTGCGGGGTGGTCTATTCTATATCTAGCCAGAGAGTGGGAGGATCTTTTGGCTGTGTGGAGCCTCGTGAGGAGGTTTGGCGATGTTTGGTTGGAAGTACTTTGAAAATTTGGTTGATATAATATAATTAGTTTCCTTTCAAAAAAAACCAGCTTTTACTTTTTTATTTTTCACCACTTAAGTTCCTGACTTCGAGTAACATATGAGGACTAGAGGTTACTTTTTTTTTTTATAGTTTTTCTTTTTGTTCTCGACGAACGAAACTTGAACTGTAATTGTAACGATAAAGATTTAACATACGAGTACTAAATATATAGTTAATTAATTAATTACATTAATTGGTTTCATTATAATCTTTGCAACTTCACCTCATTCTACCGCTTTAATTAATCAAAGTTCACTTCGACAAGCTAAGTGCACCTACGTATACATGTCATTAGGATTATGAGAATAATTCTTCTTCAAGTGTTTTTCTTCGACATATTTCTGATCAAGAGACATTTTTGTCTTTTCACGCGGAGAGAGTGTGATGAATGGTGAAATTCATAAATGGTGTAACTCGATTTAATGTCGTATTAAATCCCGAAGCTGAAATTCTGCCATTCATAATTCATAAATGGTGTAACTCGATTCATCATATACGTATCATTTAATGTGACTTTAGTCATTTTTATTTATTTTAAAATATACATCTCACAAATTAAATCTCTTATCCATCCAGTTATCTAGTGTACAGGTTCGGGTCCAGTTGTGTTACTGTATTTTGGAAAATACGCAGTATGTCCTACAATGGTTGGAAAAAACACGCCTACATGCGTGTAAACTGGATCTAGTGGTTCTTATCAATTGTGTTTGTGAATATTTGTTTGTTTATTACTCCGTATCTATTAATTTTATCATTTATTCATTTAATCATTTATATTTTCAGATGTGGAATATACATGCACACAGGCACTTATATAAGTAGTATTCTTTTACATTTTTCAGATGCGAAAGAAGTAAAAAAATTAAAAATTAAAACATTAAGAAGGTCATTCATTGATACCTCCATTGAATAGAATTTCTTTTGTTTTACTCCGTAATATTTTAATTATGCAACACCACATTATAAAATTGTCACGCAAATCAAATCACTCTCCTTGTGACTTTCAAAAAGTTTGCAAAATAGGAATAATTTTCAAAACAAAAAATGCTTTTTTAAGCGAACAAATTATGCTTTTAAATAGGGGTTTGTTCAAAAATAATACTAAAACAAATTTTATTGACAAAAATAGGACTACTTTCAAAAAGTTCCAAAAATGAGACTAACTTGTGACAGTGACCATTTTGACCAGTGATCAACCCAATCGTGACTAATTCGTCCGTTACCAATTCGACCGTGACTAATCAAACCGTAACCAATTCGACCATGACCAATCCGACCAGTGACCAATTCGACCGTGACCAATTCGACCGTGACCAACCCGACCATGACCAATTGGACCCGTGACCAACCCGATCGTGACCAATTAGTGACCATGACCAACGTGGCCACCACCGCTCCGACCGCCGCTGCCCCCGACCCTGACCATCACCGCCCAGACCGGTGACAGCTGCCCAGCCTGCCCCTGCTTCAGCCCCAAACCCCTGCCCAGCCCCCTATGGCACCAGCCCCCTCCCCTTGCACCAGGCCCCTTCCCTGTACCAGCACCCTCCCCCGTGACATTCATGTCTGCTCCGCCGCACCGCCCTACCTTAATCGCGTCACCTCTAGCCTGAAACCCTAATCCACCATTGAATCAACCCGGTGAAGTAGAGATCCAGATCCCAAATCAGCAATGATATGTCATCCGCCGTCTCTAACAGATTCAAAGAAATAGAAGAAGAAAAGAGATTATATGGATGGCGGTCGGCGGTCTGCCACAAGGGACGGAGGAGGCAGGTTGCGACGCGCGCGGACAGAGGCGGAGGCGCCAAACCGCCAATGTTTTTTCAGGGGATGGAGCGGAAAGCAAGGCGTCGACATCCCTGGTTGTCGCCGTCGCCGTAGCCGGCTGGCGGTGGTGGACCTTGTGTGGTTTGTGAGAGTCGCGCAGGTAAGCAGAAGCAGAGAGATGGAGTTGGTACGGTGCGTCTTTGGTCTCTTTTTTTACCATAAGAAAAATGGTCCTACTTTTGTCAACTCAAAAGTCCCAAGTGTTACTTTTGTCATTATTTCTTTTAAATATGTACTGTAAGTCTGTAGGGCTTTTACCTTCAATATTACTAAATTAAAGCCAATTTCTAAAATGTGACAATTTTTACAAAAAGACAAAAATGCGACTAATAAGGTCATTTACTTGGAAAAACATAATGTCACTGCCATATTTTAAGTCACATCCGGATTTTATGTCACTGTAATATATCATTATTAGATTTTTATGTCACTTTTGTATGTCACTATCGATTTTTATGTCACTTTTATATGTCTCTATCAATTTTTATGTCACTATCAATTTTATCTCACTTTTATATGTCACTATCGATTTTCATGTCACTTTTGAGTAACACTGCCGCTGTTAAACGTGTCATTATGATCGCCAGAGATTTTTCCGACAACTTTTCCGGCAAAGAGTGACTTCCACGGCTGACCACCGCAGCCCGCCATCGCAGCCCGCCGCTTGCCATCAATGCCATCCCACCGTCACCCGGTAGACCCCATGCCCCAACCAACCCCATGGTAGCAAACCCAATGACCACCGTTCAGTACAGTGCCCGGCGCCGTCGGAGCCGTCACCATCGCCGGCGTTGGTCCCACCCTCCTCAACCCCCTTCCCTGCCACAACCTCGCAACACTCTTCCCAGTGGCTAGCGACCACTTCAGACCTGCTCCCCAACCACCGCACCACCACCTACAACCGTAACCTCCAGATTGAGCTGCGTCGCCGCTCCCCTGCCACCTTCCGGCAGTCATCGCCAAAACAAATCTCGAATTAACACCTCACATCCCCTCCGCCACCAGCACCACCCCGGTATGAAACCCTACCCCCGATCCTCGCCATCGCCAAATCAGAAGCTTGAATTTGTCTAGTCCCTATGAGAGACAAATTCAAAATCAACCCCTGATATACAACACCGATGACGAATCAACAA